TGGGCCACAGTCGGCTGTTCATTTCCACCTCAAGGCCTCCAACCACACGGTGGATGACACAGAGGTTAAAATTCTGGCTCGGGAGAAGAATTGGTTTGAGAGAGGGGTGAAAGAAGCCATTTTTGTGAGGAAACAAAAACCTTCTCTTAACAGAGGAGGAGGGTTAAGATTTGTTTTGCCTCGCATCTATGACGACATCCTAAAAACAACGCCCTAACTTGGGACAAGGTCAGTGACATGCTAACGAGTTAGGAGGGGTGAAACCTGCACTCCACTTGAGCATCCCAGCAGACAATAGGTCTGTGACATGCTAATGAGTTAGGATCGTTAGCCTCAGCAGGGTCGTTAGACCTGCTCCCTTCTACATCAGACCTTAGATTGTTTATGAGTTAGTATCAGGATTAGGGTGTGGTTAGGTTATAAATCTCCAACGCGCGGTCGGAGAATTCATTTCCTGAAGAAGTCAGCTGGTTTGAGGACAAAAACGTCGGGAAAACTTGCTAAGAAGTACAGATGATGGGTGAGAAACCTTCCTTTGCTTTAAATGTAAAGGAAGGTGTTGCCGGATACGGTCAGTCTGACAGATCTCACAGATCCCTCAGACTAGCCGCGTCCCTAGCCGTGTTGTGGTCTCTGGAGAAGTGAATCCCAAGTCTGAGCCAAGGTGAAAGCCCCCTCGTCTCTGTTGATGGTCCGTGCGCCCCGGTTCCTGATTTCAATCACCTCTCGTATCCATCTTTTGTATTTATGTTGTCCTGTTCCTACTATGTTTGCATTGTCTCAGTCCTTCATGTGATTTTCTCTTTTGCAGTGGTCTGATATTGCCGATTTGAGACCACTGCGGGGAGCAAGGACCATCAACAGAGACGAAGGGGCTTTCACCTTGGGATTCACTTCTCCAGAGACCACAACGCGGCGAGGGATGCGGTCAGTCTGAGGGATCTGTGAGATCTGTCATACTGACCGCATCCTGCAACAACAGCTGATAAGAGACGCGTCACACCAACACATGTCACCTCTGATGAAGACGGAAGTGTCAGGTATTTAAGCCGTACTAGCTTTCTTTACTTTCTTGTCTTATTAAAAGAACCTTAAAAGCCTATGTCTGCCAACTAGTGGTCAGGAGTTTTAAATGAAGTTTACACCCTGTTTGTCACAATCAGCTGTTTTAAACGGTACAGCATCTTGCGCCTAGAGGGTTAATGACAAGGTGACAAGCACCTTCAAACAGCTTAATTGATAGAGTCATGATAATAAAACAATAAGAATAAGTCCATAAACTCTGCTGTGAAACTCTACCACAATAAAAATAAACAGGAAGTTTCAAAAACTTGAAAAAAAGTAGCGTCTTCTGAAATTACGGTACTGTATATCAGGGTTTAAAAAAGAGTTGATGACAAAACTTTCAAACCAGGCATCGTAAATACTCACATCATCTGCAGCCTCCATTGCAGGAACACTCTGATCATCTTCAGAACAAACGAGCATCGTCGGGATATTTATTTTCCCAATCTACCAAATTAGCAACAAATGAAACCTAACATACTTATTCAAAATAAAAATAGACTTCTTACCTCAAATTTGTTTGTATTATTGCTGAGATCAAATAAATTCCTCCAGATTTGGTTATTATCTTCATCCAGATGTATCTTATGGACATCACTGCAGAAATATGAATAGTTTATTAGTCAAGGGGTTAAAACAAAAATATAATCAAACAACATGCAACTGCGGGAATGCAAAAAAAAGTGCCTCTTAACCTCTTAACACCCGCCTCATTTTGGCTTTTGCACAAAAGTTGGGCATACCCAAATGTATTTGCTTATTTAAAAACACATCTTACATGTCACATGCTTGTGTGATGCATCATATTAAAGCTACACTAAAATAATATTTGTCATTCCTATTTCACTCTGCATACTTTGAAGTTTGGAAAAAAAAAACCTTTTTTTTAGCCTCGCCTAAAATTTTCAATTTCTAAAGGCCCTAAAAAAGGCATACTTCATTGTAAGTTCACAATATTCAAACCCTGTGTTCATTGTGTTGTTGACAACAACTGTCTGAAGTTTCAGACTTCTAAGTTTTATAGTTTTTATGCAGTTTCTCCTTTTCATCAAGTAGTACCATTCGGAACCAATTTGGCACAATTGGTTCCGAATTGTGCGAAATTGTGCCAAATTTCATCATCATAAAAACCATATTTTTTATTATTGGTACTTATAAGTTAATAATCTATGTGATTTATTTAAAAAAAATGTCTAAGTTCATTTTTTATGAGTGTAAATCTATTGCTGCTTTGAGAGCGTCTTTTTACTGCCATTGCGCTTATCTGACGCAAACTAAACCAGTACACATTTCAACCTGGAGAGACTACAAGAGACGAGATGCGTTTAAGAGTTGTTTATTTTATGGATTGAGTTTGTTTATTGGTTTGGAGCTTAGGCCCCGGCTGTGGCCGTGCTCTGAAGCGATCTGCGCCTGGGTGCAGATCATGATCCCCAAAAAGAGAGCTTGGCTAGCGATGCGTTTGCCATGACTTGGTTGCTGCGTTTATGGAAGGCGCATGGTGTGAGTGACTGTTTCCGTGCGCGAGCTCGGCTCTAGCGCTAGGCGTTGGCACGCGCACGAGCTCGGCTCAAGTGCGCGGCGTAATGTCCGTGCGCGAGCTCTGCTCTAGCGCTAGGCGTTGGCACGCGCACGAGCTCGGCTCAAGTGCGCGGCGTAATGTCCATGCGCGAGCTCGGCTCTAGCGCTAGGCGTTGGCACGCGCACGAGCCCGGCTTGAGTGCGCGGCATAATGTCCGTGCGCGAGCTCGGCTCTAGCGCTAGGCGTTGGCACGCGCACGAGCTCGGCTCGAGTGCGCGGCATGCTGGAAATGAGGAGTTGCCACCACCAGGAGATGCATACGTACTTATATGAGAGGAGGCGCTGGGCTGCCAGAACGGGTACCGAGCTCCTGGAGAGATGATTGAGAGAGTCCCAGGGCAGCAGCCCAAGTGGCTGCTCCTATCCGGAAGGAGTGGCGGGTGTAGAGAAAGGAAGAGAGGTTACATGCAGGGAGCAGAGGTTTTGAATTTGTTCAGACCAGGGGGTTGTCAAGGGATTGTTTAAGGAGTAATTATAGTCTATGAATGTTGATAAAATGTCCATAGATGTTGTAGAATGTTAAAGTATCCTGGATCATCACCACGGGCCTTCTAGTTGGACACTAACTGTCCAGACCCTCCTGCATGGCAAGGAAAACTCACAAAACCCCGTGGGGAAAAAGTGAGAAACCTTCGGAAGACCCTACATTGAGAGAGGGAATCCACTCCACGGACAGACAGGCTAGTCGTCCAGGACCTAAACTACAGAACAAGGACCATTGCCAATACTCCTTTAAGGATCTTCTTATGAGGGTGGAGCAGTGTGACTCGAAGTGGATTTTAGAGAATGTATTTAATGCCGATGTAGATGAGGCAGTGACGGCAGTACCCGCGATGCTGATGTCCAGAGACTGAGAGTGTGCAGTGAGAGGGAAAGGAGAATGCTGAATGAAGGATGAACTGCTGGTGTTTAGAGCGCTGATATTCGAACATGATTCCACTTGGGGAGACTAGAAGGTGAAAATGAGATTCATGAAGTACACTTACCCAGGAAGATTGATGTTCGATAGGAGATCTCTGGACCCCCAAAAACCAACGCACAAGGGCCCGGTCAGAATGAGGGCCAGGGTGCGTCAGGTAAGGCGAAGCGTGAGACAGGCCCGGCGGCAGGAGCCGCACCAGGAGACCAGGAGAGAATATGCCTGGGGAACATGAGAAGGAGCACCGCCTACGCCACTCAGAGTGCACGCAAACCGTGGCGGGCAGTGCTGCACACCAAAAGACAATGAGTGCGGCCTGGGGAAGATAGCCGGCCAGGTTTGAAGGCCACGGCGAACAGTACTCATGCAGTCTTAGCAGGCCAGCGTTGCAGCAGGCCAGCGTTGCAGCAGGCCACCGTCGCGGCGTTGTAGCAGAGCTTTGGTGCGGCGTTGCGGCATCACGTTCCTGCGAAGCTGAAAAGAGAAACCTCGAACCACTATCACTCGAGTGAAAAGGACCAACGGGCAGTGTCAGACCACGTCTTCAGTCAGACCACGTCTTCAGTCAGACCACGTCTTCAGTCAGACCACGTCTTCAGTCAGACCACGTCTTCAGTCAGACCACGTCTTCAGTCAGACCACGTCTTCAGTCAGACCACGTCTTCAGTCAGACCACGTCTTCAGTCAGACCATGTCTCCAGTCAGACCACTGACCTGATCCATCGATGCCGGCTCTTCCCGTCATTGTGAAGCAGAACTCTCCAAGCGTTGGATTGTTCACCCCCCAATAGGGAACGCGAGTCCATGGTCGACACTGGTCAAAGCGTGCGGCGTGGAGGAGGAGTCGAAGAGTGGAGGAGGAGTCGAAGCGTGGAGGAGGAGTCGAAGCGTGCGGCCACCGACGTTGCGTTGAAGTGTGGCGTTGAAGTGTGGCGTTGAAGTGTGGCGTTGAAGTGTGGCGTTGAAGTGTGGCGTTGAAGTGGCGTAAGGCCAGAGCACTGGGCAAACAAACAGCACAGAGGGGCTCGGCCGCGCTCCGACCAATCAGAGCAGCTCATCAGACACGGACAGCCGGGAGGCAATGCAGTGGGCAAAACTTACAGTCCACGGTCAAATAGACAGCGCGAAGGCCAATGCAGACGACAAATGTTATAGTCCATGGTTACAACTGACAGCCTGAAGGTCAATGCAGTGGGTAGAATGTTCAGCCCATGAGTAAAACGGACTGCCAAGAAGGCCAACAGTGGTTAAAATGTGCGGTCCATGGTGAAAACGGATGGTCTAAATGCCAATGCAGATAGTAAAACAAACAGCCTGAAGAGCAATGCATCGGGTAAAAACACAGCCTGCGAGCCAATTCGGCGGGATTAACTGACACGTCGCAGTTCAGTACAGTTCATGGTAGTGCGGAAAACAACGAAACTGACACTGTACCGTGAGTGGAGGCAGGGAGAAGGGTGGACAGCGGCAGGCAGACAACGGCAGGCAGACAGAAGTCCCGTTCTCGGTATGGAAGCGCAGGGTGCGCGGAGTAACGCCTGGCCGCGAGCAGCAGCGGCCACGGGGAGACGAGCGGCAGCGAGTCCACAGGAGAGGACCCGCGGTGGAGATACAGCGACCATGGCGCGCAGCCCCCAACATGTGATGTGGAAGAGGAGCCGCGACCATGCAGGACGAACAATGTTTCGTCACTTTTTTTAGGCGTGAGTAAACAAAGTGACGAAGAGCACCATTGCAGCTTGAAGTCCGTTTGGTGAGCTGTGCTCTGCTTTGCTCTTAAACGCTGGCTTTATTGACACGGCTGCGGGGAGTTGATTAAGACAGGCTGAGTAAGGCATGGTCAAGCCTGGTGTGATAACGTAGGTAGTCTACCATCCTGAACCTCCGCTTAAGCTGCATTTGTCCCACCCCTTAATAGAAAGCTTTCCTCATTGGCTACACAGACATGTCAATCAAACGGCCAGGAAGTAGATGCAAAGCAGTCGAATGACAACAAATGTGAAGTGGCACTATGCGCAAAACGCAGCTGCTTGTCCAACTCACGGGAGATGTTGCGGACCCAAAATAGCTCCTAGCTCTTCATGGAAGGTGTCATTTTAAAGTTAAGGAGCTAAGGAACACGTGGATACCAGATATTTGGGTGAAAAACAAAGCTAAAAGTCCGTAAACAGTGAAAGAACAGGCTCTGTGCTATTTTTTCCATTTTGTTTTGCTAAAGATAAATGCACATTTTTGGATTATTTCTCCAGAATGGATTATACTTCATGAAATACAAGTGGTTTTACGTCATGGTGCTACGTCCCTTAGGACTTCGCTAGTGGGATATCACGTGACCCCCAGGTCACACGCCAGAGAGATCAAAATAATTTGCTCCAATCACCAGCCACCTTCCTCTATAAAAGGAACTTTTCATCTTAATATTCTAAAAAGGTGATGGGACAAACCTCACTCTTGTTGAAAGTGAGACATGGGTAGATGTCCTCACGGTAAATTCTTTCCAAAAAGTTGCAGTGTCGGTCCAGTGTTGGCTCCTCCTTCCACAGTTTGAATTCATTGAACAATTGACTGTCCACCTACACATTCGACACAGATATATAAGCCACGACAGTCATCCTGCCGTAATGCTCGATTGCAGCTAACCTCTCGACATTCTCGGACTATCGGCTGTGTTGCTGAAGGGTCCGGCTGCGTGCCCATCATGGCAGAGGAGGTGCTCTTGTTTCTGCTGTGTCCCTTTCTGAACGGAGTCTTCACCCCGCTCGGGGGCAGCTCCCCCACAGGAGAGGTGGGAGAGGAGAGCACCAGGGTCTTCAGCGCCTGCACCTCAGCCTGGAGAACGTCAATCTGAAAAGATACAAGACATTATATTACATTCTCTCAACATGTCGGTGAAACCAGAATGTATATTATGAGACATCTCACCTTGCCCAAAGCTTCTTTCAATTGCTTTTCAGCATTGGCCTGTTTAACATTTGCTTCTCTGACCATCTTGTGGGCCTCCTAGGACACGTACATGGAGAATATGATTTTCATCTATAAACATTTGTTGTTTACAATACTGCAGGAAACCAACACCATATGCTCAGCTACAACCAGAGGAAAGTCAATGTATACTAGACATTAAGCATTCACAGACTGCATGAGTGAAAAGTTAGATTTCAGCATGTGAGACAAGGTGAGTGGCAGACCGACCTGGAAGAGGCTGGCGGTGAGCTCCTCCAGCTCCTGGCCAAGCTGATCTCTGACTTTAGACAATCTTTCACACTCCTCATCCTTCAACAGCAGCTCCTTTCACACACGCACACACACACAAACGGCAAGCACACAAATGCACAAACAAAAACAAAAACATCCAGCAAATGAATTCATCATGCATGGTGATGACAAAACTATGAATCAATGAAAAAAGTACTGTATGGGGAAAAAAATAAGGAATGAAAAGCAAAAAAATCACATAAAAAAAAAAAAAAAAATCACGTAAATAACCACAATCAGCCTGAAAAATGCAGACTCGCACAGTTCTCCTTTTGCGGAGACACATTTACACAATGATTTTTAGTATGAGTCCAGAGAAAATAAGTGCGTCATACCCTTTGGGCTTTTGCTAGTTCCTCCTTTAACCTTTCATATCCTTTCTCTCTGACTTCCATCACAGAGGGGCTGTGTAGCCGAGCGAGACTGTCACTCAGAGCACTACACTCCTCATTCTCCTCTCCATCTGCAGAGTCTGCCTCCAGACCGGGAACACTGCAACACGGCAAAAGCATGTCACATTTTATAAATCTGGCATTTGACCCATTGATAAACATCAGTGGGCTTTCCATTGTTGATTACATAAGTTTAGCTCTACCTTCCATTGTGACGTGGTGTTGAGTAAATTGGCTGCGTGGGGAGCTGATCTGCTCGCAGAGAGGTGGGGAGGCCAGAAGGGGGCGCTCCAAGAGAGTGCGTGCGGTACAGAGAGGTTGGAGGAGTGCTGTGACGGACAGGAGGTCTCTGCTCAGCTTGGTTCTACAATTTAAAAGTAAATATTCAATTGAAAAACACACAAAAAGTACATTTATTTGCACTTTGAGTGGCACCTGAAGGTCAGGAGTGGTGGGTGAAGCCAGATTGACTTCATGAAACCCCTCCAGAGGTTCTGCATTACTCTGATTGCTGCTGCTGCAGGCCATGGCAGCAACTCTTATACATCATACAGTCTGCAATTCAAAGTTCAGAAACACAATTCTAAAATGTTATGCATTTATAGGTTAAGATTCACATAACGGTTTCTTTGTGCATACAAATCTATTTTTTCTCCCCAGAAAGTGTTTTGTGAGCACAGAAACTTGACACAAACCCCAGCTATACATGTTTTTTATCAAATTGTCAGAGAGCCATACGAGTCATATGCAACTTTGGGATCAGAGCTGATAGAATAGAGGGTGGGATAACTATTACTGAACAGTCAGTGTGGAAACACTGATCCAATGCTGTGGTAATGACACAAATATAGTGCAGGATAGTACAGGTTTTCAAATGTTTGTGATAGGCAAACATTTTATTGATTGGGAATTTGGTCCTCCCTTTCATAGCTATATGTGCGAATGTGCCTTTGTAAATGTGTACACTAGTTGATTTGTCTGAGATCAGGTAAATCACGTGAGAATTTGTGGCATAAACAAGACCTTGGGGTTAGGGTAAATGTGTGATTGTGAATAGCCTTCTTACCATGGTGACTTTGAAACAGGATTGCAACATCTATACCAGCATCAGGAATGATACTTCATGAATCAACACAAATCTGAAAAACAAAATAATTTATGGTACCATTATCCAGGATCAAATTCTCAACTAAAATACAGCACAAACAGAGACTTCAACAAGCCTGAATAGCAAAAAAACAACCTGCTCCCTGAGTAGGTGGTTTGGACAACAGCAGGAATTCTTCTACAAATGTTTCACTTTCTGATTAAACAAGACTCACTGGAATATCTCAAGTGTTAACCGGTTCTCAATAAATTGTTACCCCTGTCATTTCATTGTTGTAGTTACGCAGTCTTATTGTTTTTCCAGCATTCTCAAAGGAAGGTTTAATGACACCCTCGCTCAACCATGTCCTTAAAGGTTTCACTGCAGTGGAGTGGGTGTGTCAGAGTGTAAATAAAAACTGGATTTACCATCACTTACAATGTGTCTACAAAAGTCTAAAAAAGTTTGTAGTCTTGTGACGCTTGCGGACATCAAGTAGTTTTGCTAAAAGTGGGTCAACAATGAATAAAACCTCATGATATAAAACTTGTACGAATGTTGATTTCCAACAAAAATGGGTGTTTAATTGAAAGTCAAAGCTCTAATATTATCATTGTCAGAAATGATCAATTTTGCGCATTATTTTTTCTTGCTACAAATCAAACAAGTTATATGGTTGAGTAGAGTTGCTAACCCACAAGGCCTTCTGTGAACTGCCTGTTGGAAAGTGGTGGGCATTCCAGCCTATCCCTCTGCAGCTCCTCACTGCAGACACTAGGCTTTCACTGGTAACCAGAGACTCATTCTAGGCAAGGTTTCTGTTACTTAGTCACTCTGGGTGATCTGATGTGTGCAAAGTTTAAGACACTGTAGTAATGGTAGATTATAATGCAACTGATGAAGTAGACACTTTATTAAGTTATAAGTTATAGGTTATAGGTGATGGCGGGGACTAGAAGCAGACTACACTCATTTTAGAATGTCTTTCCCTATTCAAAAGATCCAGAATGTTTGGTTTTAATTGTTGATCACTCCATGACCCAAAAAATCACCAACTTGCCTGGCCCTACTAGGATTTGGGTTGAGCGAACTAGCCACTGGGCTCCTAACCATGCATGGATGGTCTCCTTCTAGATCCAGAATTCTGTATAGAAGCAGGCTCTGAGAACCAGAGGCCCAGGTCTACTACACACCAGTCAGGACCAAAGATGGATGCTGCAAAGGAGACAATCCAACACATAACTGTGGTGTAAGATGTTGGCAGGGAAAGCCTACATAGAACGCTGAAAGTAGCTGACATAGTGCACAGGAACATCTGTGCAGCACATGGTCTGGAAACCCCAAGGTCAAGATGGGGAACATCTCCAAAGCTGGTAGAGAATGAGGAAAATCCAGTAGGACTTTCAGATACAGACTGACAGAATGGTACTGGATTAATGAAAACAAAATTTAAATTAAATATTAATACAAATATTATACATATATTACACATTATATTATGTATTATTATATACATCTACATATGTATAATTTTTTTCTTTCACAGTTATTAAGCAGAAACGGAGGTTGTCCACAGAGCAGATGCCCTGATGCTGTGCACATTAAAGATGCAGTGTCATTAGATTCTCTGCAAACGAGCCATCTGAGTACGAAGCATAGACAGTAGAATGGTTGTAGTCGGTTTGGAACTAGGAGAATTAGCGACATGGTGCTGGAAGGAAAACACAACATAAACATACAAACAGATCGGGATAGTCTAGTCATATTTGGAGGACCAACACAAACTAAAATCAGCTAATCGAAACAGTCAATAAAGAACACCAGTCTGTGCTGAAATACAAACAAACAAACTTGTCACTGAAGCAGAAACATGCATTTATAAATCAAATAGCAAACATAATCATAACAGTGTGACGATAGCCTTTGACTAGCTAGCGCAGGTTACTAGCAGGCTAGCACTTTTAGCAGTACTGGATAACTGAACATTTTCATCCATGTCACGCCATGGACTGCTTACCTGCCAACTGCACGAACATCCAACAAAAAGAACACGTTAAAAAACGGTTTACGGGATCAAAGAGGAAAAATCGTGAATCCAGATCAGAAGCTGCATTTGTGGACAAATTGAAATTCAAGCATCGCTTGTATGTAAACTACCGCCCCCTGGTGGACAGCTGTATATATGAAACCACAGACAAATACATGATTTTATATGGATTTATTGTTATAACAAACAAATACAGTACATATGTTCACTAAGCTGTCATTTCTTTCCATTCAAACAACAATTTACAGAAAAAATATGGCATAATTTTGCCAATAGTTTGAAACACGATTAATTAATTTTTAAGCTGTAATTAACTCGATTAAAAAAATTAATCGTTTGACAGCCCTAGTTTATTTGTTTAAAAAGACAGTTCTTATGTCCAGGTTACAAGCAAAGAGCATCCATACCAACCAACACCTCCTCTTCCATCCTAATGATTGCTTTATTAGTTAGTTAATCCTGCCTATAGCTCTCGAAGCTTACTATTTACTCTGAAACGTATTGTCTTTCATAGAAAATGCGCCTTGAGTGGTCAGACTAAGACCTGTAAGCACAGAATCAAATTTGGAGATTCAGCAAGCTACTACTATGTGTCTCCATACTGTAGATACAGAGTGAGTATGCACACATTTATTGTACACTTCTCTGATGGCATTTTGGTTTTTTTTTATGTATATCTATACATGTCTTTTTAATGTAGATTACAGCTGTGTGCAATTTCTTCACTTATGTGCGATATATTCACCAAGGGCTGGTCAAGCAGCAGGACGGTACGTTATAAAGGGATTTATGTAAATTGATCATTGTAACAATTTATGAAAGTCCATTTAAACGTTTGTTTTGCAGCTGAGCAGATGTTCTGGGAGGTGATGCAGCTCCGCAGAGAAATGTCTCAAGCGAAGCTGGGATACTTCAAAGATGAACTGTGAGGTGTAAAAAAGCACTACGTGGTGAAGTTTCTTTAATCATCACTAACTCTAACCTGCCTCTTTGCAAAAAAATCCCCAAAACCAAATCTGATTCCTCTTCATGCTCTCTCAAACCTGCACACTCGTCTGTATATTTTCTTTCAAATGAATGGGAAAACCCAAATAAATATAAACATGTGAATTTCATTAAACCAATATCAAAATGACATTAAATGGCCCATATTAATGTTACTGCAAAAAAAGTTAATGAAATTCACCAGGTTTTGATATGAATTTCATCAACCTTTTTGGGGCAGTGTTTTTGATGACTAGATAATATATTTCATGTTTCCATTGAGGGCTTCACAATCACGTTACATTTCAAATGATTACCTTTAAACTGTTAAATTTTGTTTTTGCATATCATTATTTATCCATTTTGCACTCCATGTATTTTTAGATGGCAAGTAAAATTAAGTATTGACCTTTATTTATTTGTAAAGTATACTGGGATAAAGGCATGCAGCATCTAAAACATTCTATGCTTTGTGTGTTTCCACAAAAACTGGTCAGGAAATAAGTTTTCATGTAAATGGTACATGTTTTGTTATATGTCAAACTTTCTAATTTGGTTCAGTGCCTTTTCTCTCACATAAAAATAGTATGAACACTTTCTTTGCATTGAGTGTTGTATTTATTCACTTTCACAATAAATACAAAGTTTTTCCAGGAATTCAGATGTGTATTTTTCAATAATTAGCACCAGCAAGTGCTACAGGATGTGTATTAAAATATCTAGTATAAATGTATTTAACAGCATCCGCTTGGAATTTAAAATGAAAGTACAAACCCATTTTAAAAGAGCAATATTACATGGCAACACTGTCCAAAGTATGCAAATGTGCATCTTTTTCACTTATGGAAAACGTATCCTCTTGCCGTTATCTGCATGAATCAATTCATCTTAAATGCATCTATCGTGGCCATGCTCCCCAGGCCAATCCAGGCAAGATGAGTGCGATAAGAACTGACGAAAACAAATTCACTGCGTTGTTGTCTAGGATTGGTTTCCCACATATGCGATGTGTTGTGGAGGACTCATAACTAACAACTTTTCCAATGCTTGCATCAAAACCTGCAGGAAAATGGAAAGATACGATCATTAAGTGCTGCTTCGTCTCGCCAATCAGCATTGATGTGGTTCCTACCAGAGTACTGCATGTTAGCTCCAAGAAAAGAGTCGAGCAGAGAGCCCAGCAATCCAGCAACACCTCCATACACAACGATGGGCCACTGTGGGTCGGCCAGGTGCAGGTCCTCCACAAACAGCAGCTGTGTGAGGAAGTACGCTGCACCTACTGCCAGGCCACCACAAAAACTGGCTATCAGTCCAACCGGGGTGACTCCTCCATTGGTACCTATAGAATAAACATGCCTAAAGAGCATTGTTGACATTTCAAAGCACCTGCTGTTCACTATTCCTTTATTCCTCAGGTCAGCATTGAAATCTAGCAAATTTAAGGTGCAGTATTAAAATGGTTTATGGTACACATGAACGACTTGTATAGAAAAAAATTCACAAACTAATGTTCACGGTTAATCAGATAAAAACTTGGCTTTGGTTTTTCATGGCACTTCACGCTTTGTGGGGTTTTTCTGGAACCTCTCTGTGAATGCACTCTTTCATAGATACAGTGCTTACTTGTTTGCAATTTATCCATAGAAAAAGATCCGAAAGATTAAAATCCTTATTTGTTATATTAAATTATGATTATTTTCAACATTGTGCATCTGGGAAATAAGTGTTCTGATCCATGGTTCTTAAACTAAAACCATTGTTTTAGAATTAACCCCTATTAACCTAATATGTAAGGAGGAGGGTGGTGTTCCTACCAGTCTGCTACTAATACACTCCCCGGCCACTTTATTAGGTACTCTGTGCTAGTACTGGGTTTGACCTCCTTTTGCCTTCAAAACTGTCTTAATCCTTCGTGGGATAGATCAAACAAGGCACTGGACACATTCCTCAGAGAGTTTAGTCCATATTTGATAGCAACATGCAGTTTCTGCAGATATGTCAGCTGCCCATCCATGATAGATGGATAGATACTTTATTGATCCCCGTAGGGGAAATTCAAGTGTCCAGTAGCAGCAAAAATAAAATTGATCCTTCTAAAAAAAAAATCACAATAGTAATAATCTGCAACAGCCCTTCAGGTCACAGCAGCAGAGGAGGGAGTAGCCTCTGGGTGGGAGTAGCCTCTGGGTGGAGCAGGACAGGTCACAGCAGCAGAGGTGGAGTAGCCTCTGGGTGGAGCAGGACAGGTCAAGAGATGGAGTAGCCACTTGGTTCGGACAATTTTCTCTGCTCTAGTCCAAAGTAAAATGCTAAATGCTTCATTAGCATTTTCAAAAAGGTTGCATTCCTCCAGTGGATTTTCACCTGATTTGCATGGTTTGAGCCATGAATCCTTTGCTCTGGTCTGGACCAGTGTAAAACTATGCACACTGTACTGAACCAACATCTCAGGTAGAAAAAAGCAAGAAAAATAAAAGTTGATAAGCACAAAACAACAACTGTTTCAGAGCTACTTAGAACTTGCTGCCGTTTTCCAGCGCATTCAAAAGTAAACAATCAATCTCCTGTTCCACCACACCCCAAAGTTGCTCTATTGGATTGAGATCTGGTGACTGGAGGCCATTACAGTACAGTGGACTTATTGTCATGTTCGAGAAACCAGTCTGTAATGATTAGAGCTTTATGACACAGTGTTTTATCCTGCTGGAAGTAGCTATCAGAAGATGGGTACACTGTGGTCACAAAGGGATGGACATGGTCAGCAACAATGCTCAGGTGGAGCGTGGCAACGATGCTCAATTGGTACTAAGGGACTCAAGAAGTGCCAAGAAAATATCCCCCACACCATTACACCCCCACCACCAGCCTGAACCATGGATACAAGGCAGGATGGATCCATGCTTTCATGTTGTTGACTCCAAATTCTGACCCTACCATTCGAATGTCGCAGCAGAAATCGAGACTCATCAGACCAGGCAACTTTTTCCAATCTTCTATTGTCCAATTTCAGTCTGCCTGTGCAAATTGTAGCCTCAGTTTCCTGTTTATAGCTGACAGGAGTGGCACCCGGTGTGGTCTTCTGCTGCTGTAGCCCATCTGCCTTCAGAGATTCTCTTGTGCATACCGTGGTTGTAACAAGTGGTTATTTAAGTTACTGTTGCCTTTCTATCAGCTCAAACTAGTCTCGCCATTCTTCTCTGACCTCCAGCGTCAACAAGGTATTTTCGCCCACCGAACGGCCGCTCACTGGATATTTTCTCTTTTTCGGACCATTCTCTGTAAACCCTAGAGATGGTTGTTTGTGAAAATCTCAGTAGATAGTCTGAGTAGTTCAGAAGTTTCTGAACTACTCAGACCAGCCCATCTGGCACCAACAACCATGCCACGTTCAAAGTCACCGCAGCAGATTGTCCTTACCATGTCTACATGCCTAAATGCATCGAGTGTGATTGGCTGATTAGGAATTTGCGTTAAAGTGGAGTTGTATAGGTGTACCTAATCAGGTGGCCGGTGAGTGTAGGTATATGTACTACAGATTCAGGGGGGGTATGAGAAAGGCTGGGAAGTTGAGGGAAAAGTACCTGTTGGGACTTCCTCCCAGGTGGTTATGAGTCGTGGCTTGGCTTTGCTAAGGATTGGGCCGACTTCAGACGCCCACGTGTCTCCTGTGCTACAAGCTAAAGCCCCTAGCAATGACAGGCACATCCAGGAGGCTGAGTACTGCTTTCCAAAGTCTATCGGGATTTCATTTGGACCCACCTAAATGACAGCAGAAACCCATCACTGTAAAGACACACCATTTTTCACAACAAAACACCAAACAAGTAGGTTCACCTCAATCATATAAAGAAGTGCAAGCTCTGTGGGCACTCCTCCATTACAGAAAACCTGAATCCAGTTTCTCTGACCACCTACAAAGCACACAGTTACTTGCTACATGATGCGTAGTTTAAGTCAGATCATTACAACCGTTGTCCACACCTTCTTTGTAGTCCGCATCAATTTTCTTCTTCTCTGCTCCTCCCCAGCGGGTCAGTTTAGATGAAGTGATAAAGAAAGCCAACAGAGAGGAAAAAAAGCTGTAGTTGGCCATGGTCAGAACGAAGCCAACAAAGAAAGCTGAAAAAGTAAATAAATTGATAAATACATCTACATGGGTTAAAGTTGAAAAAATTCCTGAGCCTGAACCATCTATATGAATCATAGAATGATCACTAATAAGCGTTTTTTATAAGCGGCCAGGGGTTAAAGCAAAAAAAAAAAAGATTTGACTGAAAATTTTCTCATGGAAATATAATGAATTACAGATCAAACGAATTCTTCAAAGATATACATTTAAACTGGTGTATTTTGATGTGAAATTACAACCAGTGGATCAAGCAACTTGTCAACTCTTTGACAGAATATTAGTGAGAGTAGTTCATCTGCATCATTGGCTTTACTTGAGGCGAGATGAGGCGTTGTCCTTTGGCTCTGTCCTCGTCAAAATATCGCAAAAGGACATTCAAAATTCTGTCCACATTTGTTTGTGGACACTCAATGTTTAAGAAAAAGGTTTCCCTATCAACTTGGTGCTAGTGCACAGCGCAGTTTTATCAACTGCAAATGATTAATGATAATTAAATCTACCAGCGGTAGTGATGGTTCTGAACGACAGGTTATTTTCTGCGATAAAGCCACAGATAGTTTTAGGTCACAGACACAGTCCACCAGAGCAAGCCTAGTCTCAGTTGTCGCTGAATCTGATGCACCAGGTAAAGAAGTGTGGGAAAGTGCACGGACAGCTGCCAAGTGCGCAGTTTTGAGCTGGTGGTGAATCCAAAGCTGTTTTCTCATTACTCCCATATAAAAAAATAATAGCGAAGTACGAACAAGCACCGGACACCTTCATCTTTTTGCACCAGGAAGCAACAGAATCCCATCGTCTCCACCTCATCCAGCCATGCCCACCTCCATTTATTTTTCACTCCGTTATCAACAGCAACTTATACAGCTCCTTCTTCCATAAACAACGATCCATGATTGTGATTGTGCGTGCATGCTAGGCTAGCTTTGATGAATGAATATAAGACCTGCTAACACACACCTTTCTTCAGCGAGTTTCTTCCGTTCGCTCTCGTTGATTGGCTCTTTTTATCACGCAGTTTTGCATGGGGATCGCCACCAAGATATTATCAAAAGCTCACCAAGACATGCTTGTCCCCATTCCCAGTCACAGCAAAGTACATATTGTACATTCCGTTAAATAAAAAAGCATTGCGTTTGGTAAACGTTAATTATGTTCTACCTTTCCTCTGATAACGCGCCCAGTTTACCGGTCCGCGGGCTGCTGGCTGTTATTGCTCCGTTCGGGATTACATTTTCCTTGTCCTCTTCTCCTTTTCAAAAGCTCCGTGCACTTTTCAGAAACTTTCACCTCCGTGTTACCATCGCTAACTTGGCTACGTCCCATTGCCTTGAATCATTTACGGAGCGCTCATGTAGCTAGCCACGGCACGTTCAAGGCCCACTCGTGATTATATTACTTTTTATTTCTATATACATATAAATACAATTATATTCAAATTATTAATATATATCTAGATATATACAACAGATTCACACGTATTACTATATATTTTGTTATAATTAACCATTTCATTGTGTGTATTATATTATTATTATATATATATATATTTTTTTTTTTTTTGCATTATTCATCTAGATAATTGTAATGCTTAGAACAAACTAAAGTAGGCAGCCACAAAAAATTAAATGTTTTTGGAAATAACAATTGGCCGCATGTGTTTTAAATAATTGTGAGACAGGTATATTCAAAGAGCAGGTCAGTTTTATTTACGTGATCATTAATGATAAACAAAGACTTGGTTCATGCACTTCTCTTCTTGAGCCGCTTCAGTTGATCGTGTGATCGTGTGACTTTTGTTATAGCGACACGCTTTCTCACCAGGATTTGTCTGCCTGAACTCATTTGGCCACTACCATGCTGTTGTAATGCACATTTCACTGGAGAAACTATTTTAGGAAACATTTTTATTCTTAAAATTTGAAAATTAAGGATTCATCCCCCCTCCAATTAATTAGAGGGTTTGAGCCAGAAGTTCCTCATTTTAGCATGGATGTTTTTTATGAGAAACAATGTCATACGTGTCCTTTAAAATTTGAATTCTATTTCAAATACTCTTCTCTCAATGTCTTATAAAGCCCACTTTTGTTTTTGTTTTTTTTTATTAGCAAAGTTTTTGCCATGTTGTTCACATTGTAGTCAACACTGTCATTAATGTTGAAGAAGTATAATAATCTTCAAGGATGGATTAATTGCAATTATACTTATTGAGTTTTGAAACATACCTCCCAGCGCTCCAGACCCATCAAGGCTACGCCTCTTCACAGCTCTGACGGTCAATACAAGTGGAACCAAAATGGAGAACAACCACCTCCATGGAGACACAGGCTGCAGTGTTCCTGTCAACATATAACGGTTAACTTATCTGTAACAGTAACATGTTTGATACATGCAAATCTGAAGTTAAGAGGGATTTTCATTTTTTGTTACTTTAAAAACAAAAAATGTGATTTGTCTTAAAGACTGTTAGACACTAGAAGAGTAAGTAAGTAAGTTTTTATTTATATACCGCCTTTTCACTGCAGATCTGAGTCTCAAAGCGGTTTACAATTGTTATTTTTGGGCATTTGTCTGTCACTCCACACAGAGATGGGAGCGGGGCCAGTACAGGAAGCGCATGCCAGAACTATTGGACATATTTTTAGTGGTAGGGGAAACCGGAGTACCCGGAGGAAACCTACGCAGACACAGGGAGAACATGCAAACTCCACTCAGAAAGGCCCTGGTCCGACCGGGATTCGAACCCAGGACCTTCTTGCTGAGAGGCGAGAGTGCTATCTACTCAGACACCGTGCCGCCCGAAGAGAAGAGCACATGGTTTGTATTGAAGAAGGGAACAAACAGATTCTTTAAGTGGGTTACTGACGTTCATTCCAAGGCTTACAACACATTGAGTTCAACAATCAACAGATACACCTTATTATCTGACTATAAACATGAATGTAGTGAGAGATATGATTTTAAACAGAGTTTTTTGTAATGATAAAACAGTCTGTTATGGGAAACTTCAACATTTCCAAACAGAGATAAGATAGTGTCTGAGTGTATTTGTTGTTTTTATTAAATAAAAAACACATAAATAATAACAATCACAATGACAATGGCTTGGTTAATCGATTATGAAAATGATGGTCAGTTACAGCTCTATTCCCATCATCTGCTTGGGCAGTCGAAAGCACTCATCTTACCATAATACGAGCTGATGGTGAGGGACAGGACCCAGAAGAAGAGGGACAATGCCAGAGTGGCACACAGCACTATCATATCAGTCATCATTTTGATGTACTCTTTTAATAGCAGAGCATCTTTTTCCATGTTAAAAGATGAAATATGGAGTTCCTAGAAATATAATGAAAATAGTGAAAACCTTTCATACATAAAATTGACACACTTAAACACAACAAAATATCTGTCTTCAGCATTGGGTGGATTTAATCCGTACATTTCACAGACACACATATTAAAAACATTCTTTGAAGACATTCATCAAAATTCCAGGAATCGTAGACATCTCTGGAATTTTACTCCCGTGCTCCGTGTGATTTACTTATAAAAGAAGCACTGTTTCCACACATACTGTGTGTACTTTTAATTCTCCTAAACAGGATAGTCATACCAACAAGATTACGTTAAATATCGCAAGAATCAAAGGGTTTGGACGACACGACAGTCCATCTTCTTTGTAGAAACACAAGGTCTTTTTGAGCTAAATCACACTTACTTTGAAGAAGAGATACGATTAGACTCACCAGTGCCCTTCAGAGCCATGACTAACTCTCTCTGCTTTGGCGATTCGGTCACATCAACTCGATGCCAAGCATAGATAAAACTGGACCCCCTTCTGCTAGCTGGAAATCTGTTTTTTAAATACAATCCTTCAGTTTAACGTCGCAGACCACAGAGACTTCGCATGTGGAACTGTCCACAGGTGGGAACCATAGACTGTATTGTGGGAACAGAGCGGAGGTTTTTCGCGACGGGACAAATTCAACTTCACTTCCGCAAACAAAGAGCCGTACAAGAAACTAGACACAGCTCATGATCGACCCATGTCCGTGACAGATGAAATAATCCACAGTCTGTGGATATAATACATCCATGTCCGTGACCGGATTCCCTCCGTTAATTTTTTTCTCCTTTGATCATAATTCAACAATGAAACAAATGCAAAAAGATTATACATATTTTACAAACTTAGGATGGATAACCAAAATATTACACAGAGTCCCATAAATACAATAAATTCATATTTGATTTGAACCATGGATGTATTACATCCCCCCTCCCACCTCCTCTGGGGTGGGAGGGGGCATTTAATTCCAACGGTCATGTGACCATGGAAATGTAACGGGTTTCTTTTCAATTCAATCTTTGTAAGGTTTTAATGTTTTGTAAATGTATTAAAGATTATAAAAAAATAATAATAATAATAATATTTACACATGTACACATACCAAAATATATGTACAAACACTCAACATTGTGACTATGTAACGTGGCCATGTATACTACATTTGTATTGTATAATGGTATAAAAGGCAACTGTATCAAAATCGTTGCTATTATAACATTTCTATTTTATTCTAGTGCTTGTATAATTTTCGTTAGCATATAGGCTTTGAAAACATTATAAAATGTGTGAATTGGTGAAACTACACCAATTGAAGGCATCATCCAGACCATTCCAAATGTCAGAAACACATACAGACAGAATTTGAAGTTGACAGCAACAATATTGAAATCACATTGGTATGTGCCTAAAGTTTGCATACTGTACTAGCTTTCGGTGTGATTTATCAATTCACGTATTTTCCCTTATTGATTACAATGCTAAAGCTGCAAAGACCGAGGAATGTGCGTTTATTCATCTGTGTTGTAGTAATTGCAGTATTTGATCAATTAAGATAAGAGAACCTTAGTTTTCCTCACAATCACAATGTAGAACTAAAAATCTTGTCTTTTTAAAGCTAGATAAGTTCACTAACGACTGACCAATCAGGAGGCTTCTGGTTTCCTTTGGTTACTGGATCGTGCTACCATCGACAGGGTTCAGGAGCCATGTCCAAAAACAGCAAGAAACGCAGACATGATTCAGTGAGTGTGAGTAAAATTGGGTACAAAGTTGGCATCTTGGAAGTAACGTCCCATGTTAGTAAACTTCTTCAATATGATATCTTTCAACTTGAATTTGATTGCAGAATATACTATCTGGACTGTGCATATAGAGCTGAAAAGGGACCAATAAAAAAATGACTTTGCGATTTGGAATGTTTCTGTTTTGCATAATTTAGATGCCCTTGAGGAGCTTAAAGAGCATCTGCTTTCAGATTCTATTGAGGTTCTATTGATAGTGATGAGCATGACCAGCTCCTTATATTTAAGCCAATAAGAATCATTAGAGCCCTCTCCATTTTAGGGATAATAACAAAATAAGTAATTACAAATAATTATTCATCTACGTCTTGAACATTTGAATAAATAATTTTCTCAAACAACTATATAACTCACACTTCACCCTCTGCTGGTGGCTATACCTCTCCAACCTTGGGTCCTCAAACCCCATAAGGTCATTGGAAAAACCTATGAGAATGAGGAAGCGAGTGAGAGCCTGTGGAACTTCCAGAGGGAGACTGACAAATGGTATTGGCGAACCAACCAAATATTGTGGTGGTGGTGGACAAAGGGCAGAGGCAATTCCAAGTGATGGTAAGATCATAAATATCAATGTCTCAAAGATAAACTGGAAAGGTAAAAGTGACAGTGGTGCCCATGGGGATGGGGGCACTTGGGGAAGTGACCCCCAAACTGGAGGAGTGGTTACAGCAGATCCCTGGAGCGACATCAGTAATGTTGGCCAAAAAAAGTGCCATGCTAGAGACAGCAAAGCTACTGTGCAGAATCCTCAAGCCTCCTGCTGGAAGAGGATCTGAGCTTAGAGAGAAGTGAAAGGTGAGAGTGGAGGATGTATTTTGTTAACCACAAAAAACAAGGCTCTTGCAGTAAATATCCTCCTCCAACAATAACAAAATTAACAACAACAATAATCTAAAATGCTTACCTATTCATAAAGAGAGTATAGTCTCGGTGGATGAGGATTAAGAGGAAAGGCTTCTTTGCTTCATTTGAAAAACTTGTGCAGATTTTAAGAGGCGAGATCCACGCCCTTGGAAAGAGAATGAAAGAGAAAACTGTACACATTATAGTTCATGGGGAGGGCCAACATACTCAAGTGGATACATTTCAAATACAAGTCAGCCATTCATATTTGTGGCTGCCTCACAAATACCGTAGATATGCCTTGACCAGTTCTTCACCAACAGTTCGCACAAAGTAGCAAATACATATTTTCATTTATTTGTCACCAATGTGGGCCTTTGTGGGTATGGAATGTCAAAAAATTTGCTTCTCTCTTCAGCACATAGCATCAACAAAAAATATCTCAATATTACCATTACTATTGCACAACAGCAATCTGCACGGTAAACACTATACATACAAGTGTATATATTTTACACAAACACCCAACACACTCAAACAAACACACCTGGGTGTTATTAATGAGGTTATTTATTCTTCATGTTTTAAAATGGGAAATAATATTGGGTAAAACAAGTTTGAAGGGTAAAAGATGCTTTGCACCTGTAACTCGCTATGATATCATCAGAATTTGTATAGTTTATTTTAATTAGTATTTGTTTTGTTTTTTTCACCACAATTTAAAAATACCATAAAACAGGGCAAGACTTTCGGTTTTATTAAAGGCAGAAAAAACTGCTCTGAGAGTGATGTCATAATGGTACAATGCCATCATACTGGACTGGAGCATACATAGGTCCATGGGCGCATATCGATAGAGAGTTCCATGGTTGTGCCATGGTTTGTGCCAGAAGGTTCTGAGTGTGGTTGGAACTAAAACATTACCCTGCGGCTGACGAGGGAACAAAGCTGATTAGCAGTGTATACAAAACAATAACTTTTTAGCCATATAGTATTATTATTATTATTTTTAAATGCGCGAAAGAGGCGAGCAATGTTCCTCTTGAGTTTCCGTAGTATTTACATCCAAGATGGCGTCTGAAAATTGTAGTGTTGTATTTTAAGCATGGCTCTACAATGGTGTTGAAGCCATATATCGCTTCCGAGGACTTTCCTTATTTTTACTTTCAATGTGTATCTAAAATGGCTTCATGGTTCGTTATCTCCAATGAAACGTTTTTGAAATTATAGTGAGAAAACAGGATCGGTAATCCAGCTAACAGTTGGCTATGTGTTTTGGCTACTCGCATCAACAGAGTAGGACTGATTAGTTTCCTCTGACCAAACAAAAACATATCTGTTCACCAATCATCATGAATAATGAGGATGAGCATCGACCTGTTCCCAGGGAGAGAGCCATTCTAGAAAGTTTTTTTACCCAACTCGGTATTTTTTCTTTTGACCGAGCCAAGGACTATGTGGAGAGGGAGAAAGACCTGAGCAGAAGTGCTGGTGCAATGTGGGCCGCTCTCCTCTCTGCTCTGGCTCACCTTGCCGCTGCAGAAAAGTCTTACCACAACATGACCTTTTTGGGACAGAAAATGGGTAATGTTTGCATAACTTATTATTTTCATGTTGCTTAATTTGTGTGTGCTTTTTAGTTTTATAAATCATTTTTTATAGCAGTTTTTTGCCAACAGGTGGACAGTCATTCTTCAGTCGCAAAGATTCCATAAGAACAATATACACTTCTTTGCACAATGAGTTACGCAAAGTAGTCACTATGAGTCGGCACACTCAGCCCAGCTCTAGTTCCTTCCTTGAGGATCTGCTGTCTCATCTGTCAGAACAGCTGTGCCACTTCACACAGGCCCGCATAGAGATGGCAGATATGTATGAGAAGATGCTCTCATTGGGTGCTCAGAAGAACATCAACTTAGAAGAACTGGTCACTACATTAGAGGCAGTCCTTCATAAATACAGCTCAAAGTATGTGTAGTTACAACTTATTATCATGTCATTTACAGATATTTATTACAAAAAATGTCTTTCTTGATTTTCAGATTTCACCACCCCATTGTTGGTCGTCTGGAGGAAGGTTTTCAGACTGAACTAGATGTTGTAACCCAGTTACTTCGTTGCCAAGCTCAGATATCAGAGTGGTGTTTTTTGCCATCTCTACTTAGCCTGCATGGTGCACATTCAAAACTAAATACCTGGGGCCAGCTTTTCCAAAAACAAAAAGAAACCCGAAAGAATCTTTTTGGGGGTCAGTCTCAAAAGGCAGTACAGCCTCCTCACTTGTACATGTGGCTCCAGCGCTTTTATGCAGCTCTCCTGGCCAAGTGCAGCTTTTATTTTCATGAATCTCTGAGCCGTCAAACAACTCCAGCTGAAATGAAGACACTGACTGCCCGCACTACGCCAGACTATCATGGAAAAATATCCTCTTTCATCCGCAAACATGATGCCAGCAATGTATCTTTAGTCTTTGATAACCGGGGCTCCGAGAGCTTCCAGGGGCATGGGTATCATCACCCTCAATCTTACAGAGAAGCACCTAAAGGTGTGGAGCAGTTTCCTGCCGTGGTGTCCTTACCAACAGGTGAACGTCCTCTGACACACTGGCCGAACGTCATCATGATGATGGGAGATCGAGCTGCAGAACTAAATACACTAGAAAAAGTGGTGCATTTCTATGACGACAAAGTTCAAAGCACCTACTACCTGACTCGACCTGAGCCGCACTTCACTCTGGTGGTCATTTTTGATGGCCGCAAGTCAGAGAAAGAGCTCTACATAACAGCCTTTTTGTTGGAGATTTCTGCTTCTCTTAGGGTCTCTAAACCTTTCAGCACTCTAAAACCTGGTTCAAAAGGCTGATCAAAGAAAGTGCATGAGATTCTGATGAGTGTATTGTTTGTGAAAAGTTTTCTTGCACGTTTTCAATGCTGTTTTTAATTGTTGAGACCAAAAATATAGATGTTTTATATGCCTTTTATTAGTGATTTTTAATTGTTTAGTTGACCCTTCGACCTTTTCCTCTATAATGCCTCCATGGATTGGTAAAGATTCAAACTGAATCTGTTGGGGCCTCAAATTACTCTTACTGTCTACATTTTCCATGATGAATAAAAGGGAGGAGCTAGTGTCTGGGTCTAAGATATATTTGACTGTAGAATGATCACATGTTGGGTTTTAACACGTTGAAGCGAATGTCACTGGGAATGTGACTAAGGACCTGTAATAAATATTAAAGCTTATGGTAAAAAAAAAAATTGATTATTTAATTTGAGTTTTAACTTCTAACTTAGTTCATTGTTTGAGTTGATTCTTAAGAAGGCTATTTTTTTTTTCAATTAGCTGTCAAAAGTAAAATGTAGTTCCAATTTGTAACAACATTGGTGAAGTAGGGGGTTAAGTTGTTCCTCTATAGTCATATTTAACTAGAATATTTAATTTAATTATGCCATGAGTTTAAAACTGGTATGAACAGGTTGAGTTTGGACTGAAAAAATAATGCAAAATATAATGATAAAAGCTTGATTTTTGAGTGTTCTGAAGCATTAACGAGATCTTGAACACTATTGTTTACATTTGGCATTAATTATTTGAATTTGATTGCAATTTACTAAGGTAAAGGTAAAAGGTACTGTGATTATTTATGATTTTGATGCTATCTTGTTTTGTTCAGCACTTTTGAGTTGCCTTGTGTATGAATTGTGCCATGCAAATAAACGTGCCTTGCCTTGCCTTAAACAGTAAATTGAAAATTTTCTGATCAATATTGGGTCTTTGGTCTCAACCTCCCCTGTTCTAAGTCATACAATGTGTAACGTTTGAATACATTTTACATAACAGAGCAGGCTATTACATTTTATTTTGTATATTGTTAATACTTTATGTATATGCTTGTGTTAGAATTGATAAACCAAGTCTCAGTTGAAAAAATGACAATGATAATATCAATCTCAATTTATTTCAAATCTGAAACCATTCCAACAAAGGGTCTACATACCCCTGGGGTCCATGTACCTCTGATTGGGAAGTACTACAATGTTGACAAACATACTGGTTAATATGCTAATAGTCTGATGTTTATTTATAATGTAAATACAACACAATGATACAATCCATTTGGCTATATGAGCTTATGTGTAGGAAGCTCAGGGCGTCAAAAACAGCAAGACAAAAATGTTTTTCTCAAACACAAAGAACAAATGTCTTTCTTCAGGGTAAATGCACCAACATGATGTGATGCTACATGCCAAGTACACAATCCTATACATCAAAGTGCGATGTCACAATGGATTAATGAATTTATTCAAAGTCTACGCAACACTTGATTATTATTTTGGAGGACTGCTGCTCTTTGCTCTGGACATGCTTGAGTGGAATCACAACTCCCACAAAAATGACAATGATTAAAAAAAGGCACTTTCACATATACATCCACTTACATTCATTTCCTATCACAGCGGGTCAAGTTATATAATTGGCACATTCACATCTATTACCAGCTCAGTTTGAGGCCACAATAACGCTGCTGTTCAAGATTTTAGGGGCATTTCCCAGCCAGAACCCCACCCTGTTAGCTTGCTTTGAATTTAAGTTGGACAAGTATCTCTCACACGCTCAGTCCATGAACACAGAAAGCATGCTTGTTCCGTTTGCTCCATTCTTCCATCTTGCACTTGTGTTTTGGTACTCAAGGCAGGCATCTATGATCTAAATGATCTATAGTCTATATAACTTTTGTAGTACTTAGAATGGAGTCAAACAAGGGCAGGCAAGCAAAATACTCAACACTCAACGTGTTATTTAAAAAAAAAAAATGCATAGGCACAGAAATGTACACACATCCATACATAAAACAATTCAATACAAGTTATACAAAATTAAATATTTTGCCATCTCTAGCTCTGGTCTAGCTATGGGAATCCCTTTGAAAGCAAGAAGGCGATTAAAAGGTTTGGTAAGTTGCCTCAACAACTTATTGAACATTCAGTAGATGGCTAAACAGTCATAAATACTTGAAACATTCGTTTAGTAGCTGTAAATTAGTTAAACAATGTGTCTTCAGTCACTGACAACCTCAAGAGGCGTTTTATGGTTTTGAGGTGAAAGTGAACTTAGCAGCTGAACAAAGTTGAAATAAATAAAGTCAAATACATTTAAAGTCCTATATACATACATTATTATCATTGTTTATGTCTGTATTTTGTGGATTCATCCACACGTAAAACATTGCAGCAGTAAACCTAAAATGGGAGCCAACCCAAGGCTTGTGAGATCTTTCATCATGACAGCACAGCCCACGTTTACGTCACTGAAACTACATTTCACTTGAGTTAAACACACTCTCCACATCTTTCAATTTCTTCATTCACATAATATATTTTAGAGTTGTATTTATTTTTTTAAATGATTGAACCAGGTAAAATGTTTGAGAATGTATTCTCATTTACAAACTTGCCCTGGCCAGTCTGCTCACTCCTTTATCTTTTCATCAGTGGTTCTAACCCTTAAAATTGAGAAATTCAACTCCTACACACCAAGAGTGTACACCAACCTGACAACACATAAATATCATGGCATATACATATCATGAGTTATGTTAAATATATTTTATAACTACAGTAAAACTCCTGTGATCTTTCCTCTTATACCCTCATAATGTGGATTATTACCTTTCCGCAGTACCCTGATCTCCTCTGGCCCTGCTTTGGCCTGATTTTGGCCTATTAAATGGCCTTGTTTGGCTCACATGGTGCAGGACTTGTCGACTGGTGGGGGCAGAGGTGGAGTGCTGCTCTTGGGTGGCACCACAGGTTTGGGCCTCACAGCTGGAGGCCTCAGTGGGACCCCCATGCGGGCAGCTGCCACTGGCTTGAAGGTGCTAATGCCGTCAGGGGATGGATTAGTTGCTCTGGGAGGTCCGGATGGAGGCCCTGGTAGTGGACTCACAGGGCTCATTGGGCTGAGCGGGCTTGGTGTCCCTGGAGTGCCTGGTGTTCCAGGGGTCCCTGGAGTACTGGGAGTGCTGTGTGGGCTGGGTGACTCCGAGGAGCAGGCTGTGGCCGGGCCATTCTTCACCTGCTCCAGAGTGTCCAGGACTACATCAGGGGCAGGTCTACAGCCCTGTCGATCCAGCTGCCTCAGCTCTCCCAGAGCTATGCTTACGGTCTCCTCAATGTCCTAGGAATGGAAAACGTGTCACTAAAAAGTGGTCAACTATATTAATTAAATAAGCTGGTATAATGAAAATGACATTTTGGTACTGCTTTCTGGTCATGGATGTACTACCTGTGCCAGGGTGTCATGATCCAAGGCCCTGGTGCGATGAGAGTCACTGAAGCCATGCTGTCCGCTGCTGGAGCGCCGGATGGGTGTGTCCTCAGGCCGCCGCAGTGAATCATGACGACTCCTCGACACTGCAGCTGCTGAGCGCCGACGATGCTCCGGGCTATCCAAGGGCGGAGTCAGGCCCTGCCCTCGTCCAAGCAGCAAATCTCTGGGGCTGAAGTGCCCCGTCACAGGTGGGGAACTGCGCTCCATCACTCCTCCGTTACCATGGTGGTAGTTGTCGTTAGAACGGCCGAGGGGGCGACGGAATAAGCCTTCTGTGCGCTTCCTCCGATGGCTGTCCAAAGCACAATGTAACATAAACAAATGATGTTGGAGATGCATTACAGTGTTTGTGGTGTAATGCTGCACAAAAGCACTTTTCACAATCTTAATGTCAAAATGGTTGCAAAATGTATGCAGTAGACTATATATTACCGTACAATAAAATATTTTAGTCTAAATATATCATAGACTGTTAAAACTTGATGCTGCAATGAAATCACATGAGGCAAAACTGTGATGAACAACTTCACAGATTTTATTAGAAGTGATGGAAGAGGAGAAAAATGTGTTTAATAGTTACGTTATCTAAATGGATTGTGATAATGGAAAATGTCTTACATGACAGACCTGTTGTAGGTCTCTGGTGGCCTTATGTCTGTGGGCGAGCTCACTTCACTTCTGGACCTCTTGTCCTCCGTACTGCTACTGCCACCGTCACTATCTGCTTTCTGACTCATAGTATCAGACATAGAGTCACCCCTGTAGAGAATGGCACAAACCAATCAGATTTGCTCTAATATCTTGTCAAAAGTTACATAATGCAGCTTTAAACGAGTTTCTGACAATGGGCTGACGATGTCTACCTCACCTGTCTTTCACCATTATGTACTGATGTGGCACAAGACCGCGGCTGTCGTTATGACGACCCTCCCACCAGTCATGTGACGCTCGTTGGAACAGCAGAAGCGACGCTCCCTTCTTAAATGAAAGCTCCCGACCCGAACGACCCACATAGTCAAACCTGGCCACCGCCTCCACACATTCCCCCTCTGAGAAGATCAAACAAGAGGCCAATTACAACAGTGCATTTCTATTGATTCCCATGAACGCGGCGTATGTGTGAATGAGAGGGGGCTGTTGCTGTGGTAACGCTCAGTGAGAGGGAGGAGCCTGCGTAAAGGTCGCTTACCCTCGTCGCTCGTTTGGGTCTCAGTTCCAGCATCGGGCTCGGTCTCCTCCAGAGCCCCCGGTTCACTGAACGGACTCTCACTACAGAAAGATTATCAGAACTTAATTCAGCATGAAGACAAAAAAAGAGGCATGGTCATTTGGAAGAGCTTTACAGTAATCAATGTAGATGCCATCAAGCTATTAATTACTGTATATAAGGCAAGAGGGAAGACGAAAACCACTCATGAGCATCACTGTAGTTTGATCAATTTGTCAAGAAATTAAAATGTATTACTTTAAAACTTACGTGAAATAAAAATGGCATTGATATTATTTGCTTTACTACTATTATACCACTATATACTATTCCTGAATGTTTGCTCACCAATACTGGTCTCCAGTCATACACTTCTCATAGACAGGACCTGGCAGCTCCTTGGTGTCAGGGAATATATTGTCATGGTTCAGAATAACCGTTTTGATGACCTCATTCACATGCGCCTGACACGCCACCTGGTCCAGAGCGTCTGGCGTGGGCAAGAGAGTGGGGCCAAACACGATGGCCAGGTTCCCTGCATCCATCATGTTCTCATCACTGTACTGGGAAAGGCTGGAGACACAAGTGGAGTTCAAGCCAGGGAAAACAACAACACAAAACGGAATCTATTAGTTGAATCATTTATATAGAAGCTGACAAAAATAAAATTTTATAGTGGATAAGAAAATACAAAAGCAACAGCAAGTCACACTTCAGTCACACCGTCTATTCATTATATAGTTGAGTTTGATGAAATAAAAATATTATTTGAATCCTAAAATACTCTCATACCGCATTACATCATGGGAAAATACATAAACAATTGTTCTCACTGATTGAGGAAGGCAAAGAGGTATCGCATCACCACCAATGTTGGCCTTTGGACTCCCATCAGGATTTTACGGATGCACTGAGCTCTTTCATAAAGGTTCTCCATTCCTGCAAAATAGTGAAAATTACAACATTATTCATTGGCAACAATGTTGTAATTCAAAAAAATAAACAATTATTTTAAAGGAAGACACCAGCATTTTTCAGACCCTGATATTGTCTTGTGCAAACAAGATTATTTTAGAATTTGTTTGGGAACTTCGATGAAATGTAAACGCCGTTCTGCATCAAACTGTCAGGGTTGTTTTTGTGTGTGCTCTCCCTCTTCCCCTCTGTGTTCCTGGAGCTGGGCGGAGTGTCTAGTCCTGGTCCTGCCCCTGGCTCAGCCCTCAACACCTGCAGCTCATCATCAGCCTCACCTGTTAAAAGCCTGGTTCACCCATCACCATGTGCCAGATTGTCAGTAAAACTTACAAGACCCAGGTTCGTTTTTTGGTCCAGACCTAGTCATCCTCCTGTTTTTTGCCCTGCTTCAGCCTCCAGCCCTGCTCAGTCCTTCCCAGCCACCACTGCTACCTGCTTGCACCTACTTTTGTAATACATCTTGTAATCATTGTCTGCACGTTTGATTCGCCAGTCATTACAACACAAACCATCCTGAATTACGGGTCCCTTCATGAAAACACATTCATCAATAAACTTGATAGAAGACACAACGATGATCTGCTTTCATGTTTATCAGCTCTAAAGTGTAGTTTCCTTACACCTTTCACACTTATATATGCAGTGGAAAAATTAAAAGTTGTTTTGCCATCTCCAAACTGTTTGCAGCTTTTAAAATTATAAATATATTGAATTTATCTAATCTTGTTTTATATTTATACTACTGTATATGTAGCCTATGTCCTTCATATCAAATATGAAACTTTAACCTGAAGTATCTCTGTGACAGGGTTAGAGACATGAAAATGAAGATGAACAAAGGTGTGGGCAGCTACACTCCACTACACCAGCTCCTGTAGACCGGACAGTCGCTTGAGACTACAGAACCCGGCACACCAGAGCACCGTCTGGTTTTATTAAAGGAAACTCTATGGAGCAATAAAACATGAACAGACCATACACTGATCATAACAGCCCTGGGGGAGGAGGAGGCCTTGAGTATCAAAGTTATAAAGGCTCAGAACTATCACCAGACAAGACCCTGTGCGGAGTTTTAGAACTCAACCCTCAATACTTTTCAAATACTTGACATCCCTAGTCCACAACAACGATGTCTGTATGTTTTTTTGTTCGTAATAGTCACAGCTCTTGCAAAAATATGAACCATATTCTGCCACAGAATTTTAGAATGTTGGCTGTCCTCTCACTCAATGTTGTAACGTGATGTTATTAGAGCAGCTGAATGGTGATGGAGTACTCACGGACACAGGAGATGAGGTCGTTGAACCGGTCCTTGGGGAACAGTGGATTGTCGAGACCCCTGAAGTAGAGTTTCAATACTCCCGCCACAGAGTTGATGTCGTGGTTACTCTCTTCGTCAATCAGAGGGTCGTTTCCTGCATCACAGACAGAATATGTTAATAAAAATAATAATACATTTTAAGTGCCTTTCAAAACAGCCAAGGACACTTTTCCAACATGGTTAAAAGTGCAATTGAAAAGATTAGCATTACAACAGAAAACAACAGAACTAGACAAAGGTGTGGGGGAGACAATTCATGTGGGGAAAGGAAGTCTGAAAAGGTGAGTTTTGAGTCTGGATTTGAACAGGGGAAGAGAGTCGGTGTTGCGGAGGTCAGAGGGGAGTGAGTTCTAGAGCGGGGGAGCAGAGCGGCTGAACGCTCTACCCTCCATGGTGATGAGGAGGAGAGAGGACAGAGAGGAGGAGGAGAGAGGGGAGAGAGGAGGAGGAGAGAGTGGAGAGAGAGGAAGAGGAGTGGAGGAGAGGAGAGGGTGTGGTGGTGTGGAGTAGGTCAGACAGGATGTGTAGAGCCAGGTTATGGAGACTTTTGAAAGTGTTTCATGGGGAACCAGTTGGAGAATCAGGGTGATGTGGTGAACAGTGGGTCCCCTGGTAATGATGAATAGTTAGTTTAGTTTAGTTAGTTTAGTCTTTATTTGAAGGGACAATGTACAGAGACATTAAGCTCGAAGACAGTGTTGGAGGAGCTGCAGTTTCTGGAGGGATTTGTTGAGAACACCAAAACGGAGGGAATTGTTAACTCTTCATTCTCCAGCAGCAGCACCAGGACGCCTCACCTCTCTCAAAAGAGTTCTTGATGTCGTTGACCTCCACTTGAGATCCTGACACCCGGAAAATACCCTGATGCTGAAGACCTGTCGCAACAAACAGGAAACAGATACATAAGCTACAGCATTAGTTGCAATACCTAACTTTATAAATAAAACATGTTGTTTGTCCCTAAAGAAAGATAATTTTTAAAGTAAATTTTCACACCGCAGCATGCTGTCTTCATCTTATTAGAAAATGTATTTTGCATATTTAAAGGTATATAGGAGGATTTTCTTCTTCCGGGTTAATCCCGTTGTCAATCATTCTGGTAATAAGTTTAAGTGGGTGTTCTCTTTGGAGGGGGTGATTCTTTCCTAAAATTCAGGAACATCATCCTATAGGGCTGGAAAGAGCGACTAAACACCTGTGCCCAGCCTTACTCCGCGCACATGCACATTTGGAAATTTTCTCTAAAAAGGGCGTTGCCTGGAGGACGAGGGACAAGAAGGGGGGCTTAGAGTTTGTTGTGGTCTGGGCTGTGATGGACAGCTCACTTGTCACACAAAAAAAAATAGTTGTTATTGCTGCTCAAAGCAATAGTTTACACCCCAGAAAGTCTCATTCCACCCTTGTTTACACACTAAAGCCTGGTTCACACGAGACGATTTTAAAATTGTCGGCCGATTTTTCTCTGTGTTAGACCCCACACGGGGAGATTAAAAATCCTGCGTCTAACCACTTTGGTCGTGCAGTGTGTGGTGCGTAGCCACACGGCAAGATCACGCAAGCCACAAACATCACACACGAACCGACACCCCCCCCTCGAGCATTCCCAGGTCAGACGGAAATCTCACAAAATCTCTCGAGATCAAGCGTGACTTCAGAGTAAACAGTCATGGCGGACGAAGAGGATGCAGTGGCGATAGTGTGCAGTTTGTTGTTAACAGAGAAGACACGTAATCCAAAGAAAAGGCAATGGTCAAAGCCATGCTGCTGTGTTTTGGTTTTTTTCCGGTGTTTCCTCACCGGCTTGTCACCTCGTTTTCTTATTGGCTACACGCCGTAGTCATGGCAACGCGCTCGCTTGTCCTCGGAGGACACCACACACGACAAGAAATCGGGCCAAAACAATCCAACATGTTGGATATCCCCGATTTGAGATCGGGAGCAGTCCCGATGTCCTTCCGGGCGACGAGTGCAGTCTTAACACACCACACACGGCAGGATAATCTGTAAGATTTTGTTACGGAAATCGGAGCGTTTCTTAAGATTGTCGTAAGGGGTAAATCGGCCTAAATATCCTGCCGTGTGAACCAGGCTTTAGATAATTCTAGAGCACCCTGAACCTAATCCACTGAATTATCTCAGCAGTAGTGGCGGTCAACTAAATAAAGTAGTGGCGGTATATAAATAAAGCTTACTTACTTACTAATGTAATTTAATATTAATCCACTAGATGTCGCCAGAATACTCCGACTTGCTACTGGGGCGTGTGAGAGAGTTGGATGGGTAACTGGCGCAGAGAAACGTCACACAGTACTAACTGACGTCAACCATCACTCCAAAGCCAATGGAGAGGCCAGGCATGCAATTCAAATGTAGTGCCACCAAAAAGGTAGAGAGGGTGCCACACAGACTTAGGTTTAGGCTCAAAAGTGTGATTTTATCTAATTTGTACTAAAATGTCAAAAAATGACCAGAACATGTAGAGAGCACAATAAGAAACAAATTTTGCAGTTTGTGACTTGGTGTTTAGCTGACCAAAAAAGAGTGAAAACTAGTGATAGAACCAAACTGTTTTGAGAGTTTGATGGATTTTATTAAGTTGTTATTTTGTGTGTGTGCTACAGTATATTCAGAAATAAATACTATTTATTGGAAATTCAGATACGGAATTTTGCTACACTGAAAAATGTTTGATGTACAGTACATGACAAATTTTAAATAAGTAAATATATAGTTTTTTTTCTTTCAATGTATAAATAAGGTAGCTCTTACCATGCAAGTTAATGTAACGTATACAACTTTCCACTAACAAAGGTATGGCTTTGGTTGAATCCTAAAAAAGACACAGGGATACAGTTTAATTGCGGCATCTATAACCAGCTAAATCAGAAGTTGCACTTGTAGAAAGGGTCAGTCTACCTGGTGCTTGCTGTGGGAGTTTTTCCGCCCACGGCTATAGAGCATGAAAAAGGCAAAGACTGTAGTAAGTGCTTTGATGTGATTATGTTACCACTTTTCAAATCATTTTGCCAAACTTGCTCACCTGGTAGTCAATAGTTCTGCTTTAAATCCTGTAAACGGCAATCACAAAATATATTATTGAGACAAGATGTGATGCATGTTGAAGATATGTCCACTTACCTTCTGCTAAGGCTTTCTTTAGTATGTCATGTTTGGCCTGTAGTTTAGAAATAAGATTACTTCCTTCCAAGTATTCTCGAAATTTCTGTAATGACAGATGGATCACATATGTTTTTTTATATATTTTTTTTAATGTATAGTTCAAATTCAAGCGACCATTTTAGTCACCCCTGAAATGATTTTCAATTTTTATCCTTCACTTGCAGCAATGATGGTAATGGGCAACTATGGCAAAGGTAAAGGTGCACTTTATTGATCCCCGTAGGGCAATTTGATCCTCTGCATTCGACCCATCCTGATGCCACTAAGGCTTACGTCAGGAGCAGTGGTTGCCGTAGTACAGCGCCCGGGAACCCATCTCCAGATGTTGATGCTCGGAGCTGGAGGATTCAACCAGTTTTTGTATTTGGTAGGGGGAACCAGAGTACCCAGAGGAAACCTATGCAGGCACGGGGAGAACATGCAAATCCACTCAGAAAGACCCTGTACCGACCGGGATTCAAACCCAGGACCTTCTTACTGAGAGGCGTGAGTGCTATCTCTACATCTAATTAGAAATTAAATAGTTATATATTCAAAACAAATATTGTATTAATATTGGCCTATCACTTGTCTTCATATCTAGTCCATTTTTGGTTGAATCCAAACCGCAAACTAATTTTGTTCAGAAAAAAAATCCTTTCCAAACTGATGTCAAATAAAAATAATCTATCATAGAGTAGTAATTTATAGCGAAAGATTCGGCCCCCAACCAACATGAGTTTGACACCGCTGGTCTATCGTTTATTTTCTTCATTATGCATTAGCGTTGTCAGAATACTGACTCAATACTTTTGTGAAAACAGTGACAATAGAAAATTGTGTTTTGGACAATGAGCTGCAATTCTTTTACATGAATAACATTACAACATTGAATGTATTGTTAATGGTACCACAATGTTGTGTACTGGTTCTGATATCAACATTTTTCAAATGAATATCTGATAATTGATACTACCTACAGGCATCATACTCACATTGAAGTAAAACAGCTCAGTCTCATGCTGGTTGGCTCGTCTTTTGGCGAGACTGGGTTTGTTCAAGTATCCATCGGAGACACTGGACTTGACGGACTCTGAGGAGGGACTGTGGGTGAAGCTCTGGGACACATCGCAGTCTTCTTTTACTGTCATGTCTTGTAATGTTGTCAGAGTCGCACCCCAAGTCTTCTTCACCTAGTGCACGGAACAAGAGTGACCCAGAGAACAAAAAAGTCAGAATCAAGATTGCAGACAAAGTACGGAGATTGGCATCAGACTTGCCAAGAGATGGATCCATAATTGTAAATGGATCATACATAAATGACTACAGATGATCCAGTTGATTTTTCTGTTTATATTCAGTTGAAGGAAGAGTAGTGAATAAGTGCACTCAAGACAAACCATAAAAGTGATGTTATGTGTGTTAACTTTCAGGACATATTCCCCTTTCCCCATTTCAGAAACTTTTATTTCATTTTTCACTAGAAAATGCAGGAACTTGACACTGAAAACTGGTCCTGATTCTGCCATAGTTCAGACCACAGTAAAAAAGGAACACTTATTAAAAGTAAGTAATTGAAGAGGTGAAATAAAGTCTGTCCGACCCATGGACTGTATATAGATGGACAATGCTAATCCACGAGCTCAATGAAGACTAAATCGTTAGTGCTCATTGTCTCCTCTAAATCAGGGACAGTTTGTGTCACACTCATCGGTTTGGGCTTAAAAGTCCACACTGAAGCACTCTCTGTGATCCTGATGTTTCCATAAGAATGTATCATCCCTATTACGTTTCTATGGTAACGGGTATTGGCCCAGCACTAGCGGAAAACCCAACTGAACAGGCACCTTGAGGAACAAGAGGGCTCCAAAGTTTGGAGGAAGGATGAAGGCTAACTAGCTACAGTATATGACAACTATATATCCACATTGCGATTGTTTTGAAACAGTTTTAAAATCCAATTCTTTGTCCTTCTGTCAATTCTCACCACATTTGCGGCGAGCTTTTAAATGTTAATGATTCGTGTTTTTGAATCGCTGTGAGGAAAATGCATAATGAGTTTTAATTCTGTTACAGTTGAGGGGACACATTACAGTTCCAGTGATTTGACTTGTTATAGATTCCAAATACAGTGTTGAGGAGAATACTTTTCAATACCAGCATTAACATACATTTTGTAATTCATTCTGTTACATGGCCTAATCAGTGTGCTGTATTCGGAACACTTTCTCCCTTTGTATAATATTACACAATGAAAATGCTATTGTCTTGTTTAGTATTTTTTTTTTTTACATTATAAAGTTGTCCTCCTGTGGACTCACCACCTGCAGAGGGTCAGTGAGGGGCTGGTGCTATGAGACTTGGGTGGCATCTCTGATTGCCACCCCCCTGACCCAGAAATGGATTAAAGGGTAGAAAATGGATGGATGGACATTATAAAGTTTGTTTTTGTATTATCGTCAATACAGGGTTGAAAATATAATTACGATTAAAAGTGCTGGTTTAAGAATATACAATACAATTACCGTACCCCAAAAAGTATTCAAGTGTGTGAGCATTTAAGTTCTTTTCCACCTCTAATTAGCTCAACTCTGTAGATTTTGTGTGCATGTTGTGTCTTTTGTTTGTTGCTGAGTTATGCACAACTACCCCTAACTACCCCTTCTTCAGCAGTTTTATGTCCTTCAGTGATAGATGATGGCTGCCTCTGTAAAGACTGCTGCTCCAAAACATTAATCAAAACCACAGCAACACCCTTTTATTATTCATGTCTGAGACTGATCTGTAGTAAACCGCCAGAGTCAAAATAACAACAGATATATTGACCAATTGACCTACCTCCTCATTCTCTATCTTTAGCGACGCCAAGCGAGTCTGCAGCTGCGTGAGGCGAAGGGAGAGCTCAGACTGAACTTGTGGCTGTGAGGCAATCTGTGTCACCTGGACCACAAAACATCAATAAAATACATCAATAAAATAAAATACATTATTATTATTATTATCATTTTAACATCAGACTCTTAGATCATCATCTGAACAAACTTACGGCGTCCCCCATATGAGCCTGGAAACTGAAGCGCTGTGGGGGGCAGAAGGCAGTGGGGTAAAGGCCCAAGAGGCGCTGTCGATCACGGGCAGGGTCCAACCCCTCGACAGCCCCTTCCAGCACCTCCAGACCAGCTCTTCTGGAGGCTTCAAGGCTAACTTCAGCTGATAGGTAGGTCCTTAGAGCGCGGCTCAGACTGGAGTGGTACCCTAGGTCACAGCACTGAAGCACAGTATTATAGCAACATAAAGTAATCCAGGCATAAAACTCATATGAATGTTGTGTACTTACGTCTATGATATCAGGCAGATCATGTATGTAGTATTTGAACACAGAGGCATTAGTGGCTTCTAGAGTGAGTAGATACTCATTTCTGGCTTTAAGAGCTTTTAATTTATTTTCAGAGTACTTTGCCTTCCTCTAGTGACGATAAACAAAAAACACATATCAACAATAGAGTAAAGTCAAAGCTGAACGAGTGAATGAGGCTTCCAAACCTTTTCTCTCATCTTTTCCATCTTCCGGGCAGCATTGCGTCTCTGATGGCGCTCTTCTATCCGCAGCCCGAACACAGGCTCCACCCCTCCAGTTGTGACGGACACGCCCTTCACACGGCCCTCCTGACGCTCCGCCTCGCGCAACTTGGTTTCAGCTGTTATTGTCTCCGTGTGGTACATGTGGTATGTTTTCATAACCTTACAGTAGAAGGTAATTATTATATTATTATAATACATCTATCTCCCAAAAAAGACACATCTGCAGATTAAACAAGAGCTGGCAATATCTATTATTATTTTAGTTTAATCATTTACGGTTTAAAACTGGGTCTCCAACCTTTGTCACAGAGCTACCCCGTTTTGCAGTCGTAATAAAAATCTATGCAATAATTACAACAAAACATGGAGAACATGCATATTTATACTTATAATAGATTTGTAATGGCTCAACATATATTCCTTCAAGATCATGTGTTAAATTCTAAATCCTTTGGGGAACTACTTGAAAGGGGCTGGCGAGCTACTGGTAGCTCCTGAATTATAGTTTGGAGACCCCTGGTTTAAAAGGTATACACTATGTGCATGATACATTCATCTGGTGAGGGGTCCACCACCAGCTCGTCTTTAGAACAAACTGGTGATGCAAATAGTTTGATGAGAGGGTTTCACAGTATGGCTTTAAAATTCAGCCATACTATTGTATTTTATATTAAACCAAATAAAGGAATACATCATTACATTTTGCAAATGTGATACTCACGGTGTAAAGTTCATTCAGTAGCTTCATGAGATCCTCCTGGATTTGAAAAAGTATCTCTTTACTCTAAAAACAGTATGAGAACACATCAGATCTACAGAACCAAACGCTTCATACATATTGATGTTTTTTCAAACGGCAAGTAAATCAGTGCATCATACCTCACAGTAACATCACAAATGAAAGTGCTTGACTCTGCTTCATGTATTTAAAACAGTCGTTGACAAAGGAGTTTTGTGGCAGAATGGTGCTGTATTAATATTACATTATGTGAAATGACTGGATCCCGTTCCCATAGTGAGTCTGTTGCTATGGCCACCAGGCCTTCAGACCGAGCGGACTCTGGACTGAGCTCAGGCGCAAAAGTTTCTGGACTGAGGCTTTTATTGAGATCCTGCAGTTCATTGCTTGTAGCAGGTTCTGCACTTTAGTTTGCATCAATAAAGAAGGAAAAGAGAAAACTGATTTATAGCAAAGCCCAAGAGCTAAACTTGAGTGGTTAGGAGTCTGTCATTTGAGAATAACTATTCTATGACTGTACTATTTTCTATAATAAAGAACTTGACTTTTAATATAATACTTGTAATTCATTGGCACTGTGGTTATCACAACACCAAATAGATTATGAAAGCCTCCCATTTAAAACAATGTACAAACATAATAATTCTATGGTTGTCAAGATCAATTGCAACTGATCTACACTATTTTATATTAAGATAATCGTCAACTGCTGAATTAACAAACTATAACTGTGTAAATGTATTATTTTTCACAATAAATATATCCATTAGGATGTTCTTCAGTGGCTTTACTTAAGCTATATCCGGATCCTAAAATATCGTATATGATCTAAACACATAATTGATCAACCAAAAGAACAATTGCTTCATTAAAGGAATGTTTTACAATATACCCTCCTTACAACGTTAAGAGAGGGTTTCCCTCACACCTCAAATAACAGTCTTTTGGCAGCTTCAGGTATGAATTTGAGAATTTTACCCCAACATCTTATGGTGTGTGCATTTACGGCTTAGCTATACATTATACTATTATAAATCATTTTCCATAGAGGGACATTTTACCCCTCGAAAAACCTATGGACATGAAAACTCTACAAAGAATTAAAGAACCGGGATTTCACAGAAATGGAATTCTATGAGGTATGAGCACTACCCGCTTACTGGACCACAAGATATTAGATTGTTAAAGCCCGAGTTCATTCTTTAATAGTTCTAAAATAATCAAACGAAACGAAAGCGCTGCATTTATATTTTGTTCAGGGTTATCAATGTAAAGATGCATGGGGATTTTGGTTTACATCCATCTCACCCTCTTGAGCAGCCGTGCGGAGTCGTCACTGATGTGTGTAAGGCGGGAGATGACATTATTCAGGTAGAGGTCACTCAGAGTTGCATGGTCCTTACTTTCTCTCCTCACCTGGATCAAAAGAATTCCCAGTTATAACTGGCAGTCGGTACGTTTGTAAAATCATGAAGGACCAACCTGGTTTAGCAGCAGGTACCAGCAGTTAACTGGAGAGAGAAGGTTTTGATCTTTTCTGGGGAAAAAATAGTATAAATGTTACACTGGAATCTGCTTGTTTTTTTACCCAAAAAACTCCCCGAATCCAACTCATTTATTCTTGAGTAGAAATGCACTGATGCAAACTCTTACTTGTATTGCTGATGGTCTTTTGTGCTGCGTGTTTTGGCCATAAATCTCTCTGCAAGTTTTTCTAAGTTTCTTGAGTATTCTGTTTCAATCTCTGATTTCTTTCTGAAGAAGTCCTGCAGATCCTGAAGCAGCTGCACCCGCATCTCTGTCTGCTGCTCCAGACAGCGCTGCTGTTCAACCAACTGGGTCCGCACATCTGGACAAACACACATCACATTGGGTGTTCACAAAATTATATCGTACAATAACCTTTTTACTTTATTGCATTTTACTGTATTTATGAGGTATGAAAAACATGCATATATTGTATTGTGAGATTCACTTCAATAATTTGGTGGTCAATGTTGGTTGCTGTATCACTATATCATTTTAGAATAAAACATCCATTGAGTTGCTTTCTTGGTCAAGTTTAAGTTCAACACATCTTTTTAATCTTTTTAATATACTGTCGAACTGTTGGTATTTTAACAAATGGTAATGTGATGTCCTGATGCCCAGCGAATGAGAACTGTTGTAACCAATGACATTCCACGTTTTGTTTAACAACTCTATCTCTTTGTTTAATAACTCTATTTCTTGGTCATTCACAAAGAATGCAAGAATAATTCTTAAACTTATTGATTGTTCAGTTATTGTGGCAATTGCTTTCTTCAAAACAATTTCCATATAATAATGGAAGTGTAATATAGTATCCAGAATAGAATACATCTGCAACCTTTACAAAGCCAATAGATGTCAATGCTATGGAACCAAGATCCGCCGCACAGTAACAAAAGGATGAAGTCATTGATTTCCCAGATGACCTTTAGTACACCCCAAACCGAACCCTTACGAGACAATGAACCCCATATGCCCGCCTTAAACCTGGAACAAGTATGACAGATTAGCAAGCAACTATTGAAAGCCTCTGAAGGTAGACCAAATGCAGAAGGACATTTATGTGAGACATATTTTATCTCTCGTTTACTCGGGGACAAGAGTGAGTTCTCCACGCACAGGCTCGATGTGATTACGTTACAGATTCATACAGTGTGAATGCGGCACATCTTCACCTTCCCCATCACATGGTTCACGCACAGTGTGTGGTTGCCTAGACAACAGGTAGTGAAGAGGGTCCTCCCGAGACGTGTGTGCATGTGTGTGTGTGTGTTTGTTTTTGTGTGGGAGAGACCAGCCGGCCATGATTATGGATTCTGTTGCCACTTCTACGGTTGAACATATAGCCAACATTTAAACTGTGTATTTGTAAAGTGGAAACAGGACCATTAACCAGACCTGTAATTTATTTTGTTTATTAAATCAAAACTAATTGAGCACAATTGCAATGTTTTATTTGTATGTACATTTATAAACCTCTATAAACATTAAACCATTGACACAATTTTCATATTTTTGACTTTATACACATTTCAAGTGTGTCATTGCATTTCAAATATATTACTGTCCACTATCAGAATATCATGAGTGGTCACTATCATTTATGTGAACATAGCAGCTACTTATTTTGTATATTTTGTGTGCTCCATGCTCTTACCGCTGTCCTGTATGTGCGCTGCAACATTGACATTTCCCCACTTATCTTAAACTGTTAAAACAAACCAATCAGTGAGATGACATGGGTGTGGCAAAATTTACTAGAACAATATTAACATGAAAAAATTTACTGATGATCCTTGTTTACGTGTCCTCCTTTTGCATATCCAAAAGTAATGGGACAAACTATATAACTTGCCATAGTCGTTAAAATTGTACTACTTTTCTTGAAATGCTATTTTGCCGTATGTCAGGTCTTTGTCCATCTGCAGCGTCATCCAACAAGTTCTGAGGCATTTTACTGAGGCACTGTAAACACCCTGCTGCTTTTGTCAGCAGTAACATCATTAAATACAAAATCATCAAAAGAAAAGATCCATTTGGTTCCATTGCCATGACCACAGCCTCACAGTTTTGGGAATAACTAAAACCATGTATCTTACTGAGAATACGCAGAGGATTATGGATAAGCACCCTTGAGCAGCAATAATGACTGAAAGGGCTCTTCCAAACAAGTGACCAATAGTTTGAACATTTACTGAAGTACGTGTAGCTGTTTCATTTTGCTTTCAAAATGTTATGTTTACAATAACCTTTCTGCATGGCAAAACAGAACTTACGAGTAAAATAATTAACAACACAATAAACTACCGGAAATCCCAGTAATCAACGTTTAGATTTGACGGAATTCCATCCACAGGAATGGGATTCTGAAGAATCTAACTTCAGAATCCCATTCATTATTTAACTGTGACCACTGTAAATGGTAAAAAAAAAAAGTAGAATTTATAGTTTCCTAAAAATAAGACCAGTTTGATTTTGTTTATCTCTGTTCTGTATAATAATAACATCTATATTACAGCCCTGAGAGTTCAAATTAACTAAAGTCTGTACTGATCTAAATCAAGCAGATTATTTGGGATTATTTTAAGTAAGAACTTGACTTTAGCAATTGATCAAATAATTGTAAATCAATAAATCAATATTGGCAGAGACCATTCGTTCATAGAACATTGATTATTGTGATAATGGAAAAGAAGTGGATCATTTTCTTGGATCACAGTCTATTGAAAGTGAAAGCGTGCAGACTGCTTTTGTTGAACCTTTTGATGTTGCAAAATCTTATTGAAAGCTCTTTGTACACTTACAGCACCCCAATGAATACCTTTCAGATCACAGAATAGTCTATGGGGAAGGAGAGAAACAATACATCACACATAATACGTATGCCCCATGTACAATCCTTACCCACTCCCTATAGATCATTCTTGTATTTGTGTCTATATCATCCCTCAATCAAACAGCCTACCTTTTATATGTTAAATTATTTGCTAATGAAATGTAATTTATGCAAAAAACTTTTTTTCTGAGAGTAGTACTACCTTCAAATTAATGGACATCATTCATTTGGATGTAAAAATCAAATATAGCAATACATTTCTGATTTCTTGGGTACCAACTTTCTATGGCAGTTAAAGACCATTGTTTAAGGTGCTGGTCCTGGTCTGGTCCTGGTTCTGAGCTGGTTTTCCACCAAGTGGTGGTTACCATAGCAATGCACTGTTTTCTTTCCAGCAATTAGCATTAGGTGTTTAGAATTAGCATTTCAACAAACTGTTTGTGTAAGGCAGTTTCAGCACAGTAAAAGTCAAAAAGTCCACATCTTATGGTGTGGACTTTTTGATTACTTTTCCTTGTTTTATTTTGATATATTGGTTCTTCATTGTCTGTTTTCATGTCTGTTCTGTTAACTTCCTGTCCCGCCCTTTTGTGTTTCACCTGTGTGTCCCTGTGTGTATTTAAACCCTGTGCTCTTCTCCCCTTGTTGTTGGTCCATTGTGATTTTGTCCTGGTTTGAGTTTTTAGTTCTGTATCCTGTATTTAGTTTTTGTTTATTAACTCTTATATTTTGGCAGTCCTGCATTTTGGGTCATTCATCCTTTTCAGAACGTGACATAAAAACTTTTATAGTGGTAGAAAACTAAACTGTCTCAGAATTGTATTGGTTTGAATTGGAGCAGTCTAAATGACGGCACTGGGAGTTTCAGAATTCAGAGAGTCCTTGTGTTAAATTACAAAAATGTTTGGTTATAATTTGATTGTCATGTCTAATGCTTTAAAGTGAAACTTGTTTCAAGCTACATCTTACAATGATAAACGGTCATTTGAGAAAGTGCTTTTATGTTTTGACTACCTCAAGTCTTCCCTAACCCAGTTACTGTTAATGGTGATTAGATTCACAAACCCCACCACATTATTCCTATCAATGTTTTTGAATATTGTCACCACATCTAGACACCTTTATGATAAAATAATTAGACCATAATTGATATGTACTGAAAAAGGGTTAGGGTTAGGGTCCCTGGAACCTTTTTCATGTGGATTGTCCAACGAAGTACAGAGTAATGATATCTGAACTAAGATGAGAAATTATCTCTGAACTAAGAGGTCTGACTTTTGGCAGTTAAAATAATTAGCAAGAAAAAACAACTGTTAACTGTAGACTCTCTGAAATATGGTGATGTCACTAGATTTGAATTGATTTCGACGGTTGATCTTAACCGTCTTAAATCAGAACACTCAATGCAGAAGGAGACTGTTGCCGTGGAAACCCCATCCAAGGACAAGAGGTCAGAGGATCGCTGGTTCATCATACACACTGATAAAGGCCTTTGGTTTCGGTGTTAACTGTGAACAATGTCATTGTGTCTGGAGGCCTGCCGTCTGTGTGATGCAGAGGTGCACATGGTTCTTAGCACTCGGTGCACAAGGAGCCAGAAGAACAAGCTGCAGCATGAAGTCACACTTATCTGTGTGACCTATCTGCTGAACAGTTTCTCTTTTAATTATACTTTTCCATTAATGACTGTCACATTATTATGCACATAGACATTTGCCACATGCTCTTAGCTGCATGTGGTTTTCTCTGAACAAAACGTGAGATGCACAAAAACATTGTTAAGCACAAATATGTATCGTCAGCAGAGTTCAGTCTGCACCTTTCTGCAAAGCTCACCTCACTGAGTAGAACCCACCTCCTCCTGTGTATACATTACACCACCTCCGGCCTCGGCCAATCAGGAGCCACCGACTGAGGCAGACTTTTAGAGCACATAGTTACACCATGGATCTATATGTTTAGCTCAATGAAAAAGATGGCAGGAAGCAGTGGACCATTTTGCTGGACATTAGAGGGTATTGTGCAAGACTGGGCATGGTCATTACAGCCACTACAATGCAGGACATCCTTTGGTGTTGGCCCGGTGCCAGAGCAGGAGCCACATGCACACACACGAACATAAACATGTAAGAGTATACGACTAAAGCACGACCCTGTCCTTCAACAAGGCTAACCTCAGCTCGTGCTCGCCAATAACATGCAAGTCTCTGTCAGTTCATTGTGAGCGGCATGTGTGAGACTGCCACAGAGACAGCAGAGCACAGCAGGCGACAGCACGAGAGGAGGAGGGACTCAGGGTGGAGATGGAATAAGCAATGTGCAACACAAGTGAACAGGATTTTTGCATCAGTTAGTTCAATACATATAGATGGTATTGCTCGTAAGTAAAAGAATAAACAAAAACCTACCACAGTACAATCCCGTAAATATTCAAGTATAGCACTAGAAGAGACAAGACTGGATTTGTCTCAAAGTCATGTGAAGATGAAAAATGTATGAATGAATATTACAAATGAAGAAAGTCTGAAGCTAAATCCCCAGTATTATAATGTGTCCAAAAGGTAATGTGAGAAAGCTTACAAATGATAAATGAGTTATTATACGCTACTCATGTCATTGAATTTTAGGAATTGAAGACTTCTACCCTAATTGTGTGTAATAGTGGATGTCGGACATTTTGAATTGCATGATCCAGTGGCATTTAATGATGAATGTGGGCACCCAATCATTGCATCTACAGTCAAAACATTAAATGATATGGAATCTGATATTAGATACCTAAGATGAATCTAATACTGAACATTCCCATGCAATATACATTCTGTAAGTTGCTTCACCTTCTCCATCTTTTTTCATATGATAGCCATGACGGCATTAAATAGGAGGAGGCTAAGAAGGAGTAGGATGTCCCAAAGTCATGGTCCAGGGACACTGTTTTAAGGATGAAGAGCATCACATCCCTAGAGCACATTAGGATTCAACTGTTAAAGCACTCCATTATAAGACTAATTGCTGCAGCAACAGCCCCACAGGGATGCCAATAGTTTATCAATCGGTTCTTATTAGACCTGAATGCAAATATATTTTATAAAGCAAACAGATCTTCTCCAAAACCCCTGCAGACATGTCTCCACACCTTCATCCTCTTCTTCACCCCCCCCCCCCCCCCCCCCCCCCCCCCCCTCTCCCTCAGGCGCCATGCAGCACTCAGGATGAACCCAGAAATCCTGACGTCTCCACTTGAGGTGTCAGCTCCAAACACACCCTGGGCTGAGCTCATCTCAACCTGATCCAGAGAGCACGACAGGTGCTTTAAGATCGGATTGTGTCCGTAGTAAATGTCTGCGTGTGGCGAGAGAAGGTGTGACTGGGGACCCCGTCTGCAGCCATCTGTGGGCCACCATGGATGATGAAATATGGAAATAAATCCATGTCTTACCTTTGACTTGGCTCTCGTATTCCGCAAGGATTTCTTTGTCCTTTTTGCTTTTGTTTAAGTTTGACATCACGCACGGTCAGGCTGGTTGATGACAAAACCAGCGAGAATGAATGACCAATTCCTGCTTAGCCTCCGTTTACGCAGCCCGCGGCTTTTCCCGCACCATACAACATGCTACATCCATCCAATGCCGCAACTACTACTGTCCTGCACCTCCACGCTGCCAGAGAGGAGGAGGAGGGGAGAGGAGGGGAGAGGAGGGGAGAGGAGGGGCGCACGCGTAGCACACGCACCTTCAGTGAGAAATCACCCACTCGAGACGAGCCCAGCCACACGGAGGATAGAGCCACGTGTCCATAAAAGACACTGAGAAAACAGCATCCATAGACACGCACAAGGAGAGCAGTGCACCGTCACACACAGGGAGCAGTGCAACAACACACACGATGTGATTTAATGTGATTACAGCTCACGCCACAATAACCTTTCACAGTTACGTCCTAGAGACAGTGGGCCACATGTTTAGATACATGAAAAGGTCAGATGTAGTGATAAACTCATGAATACAAGCGAGATTTCAGAGAAGGATTATATGACTGTCCAACACGTTAGATACTTTTAAGTATTTATGTTCATATTAAAAAATGCATGCACGTTCTCTACCCTCGATTTATTATTGACATGTCACGACAATAAAGCTTATTAAACAAGCCGTTGTAAGGATTTAAGCAGACAGAGACGGATCGTGGTGTGCCAAACTCTGGAAGTTTATTTAAGTTGCTCTCAAGTTCCACTGGTTTACTCTGTTTCTTTTCCTCAGACAGAATAAAGGCAGTACACAGTTTATATAGTCATTGTCACGTCACACATCGAAAGACATACGTGTCACAAAGAGACAGTCAAATCATAGTCATAACATGGAGTCCTTGTAGAGTCCTTGTACAGTCCTGCACGTAGGCCATATTGCTATCTAATACTAATACCCTCCCCTTTGATCACATAATCACATGTGATCATTCAAATACTCGGGCGGAGCTCTAATCACCCTTCGCTGGCCTGCTGGGAGTACATTTTCCTACGGCCTCTCCGCGTTGTGTCCCACTAGCGAAGTCCTAAGGGACGTAGCACCATGACGTAGAATTAATAGTTACTTAATGTAACTTAAGTTCTACGAATAGGTGCGTAGTCCCTTAGCTACGAGCCCATCAGGCCAGCCCGGCTTGGCAGAGTTCAAGAGGGGGTGCGGCCTTGTGCAGGGGCATTTATAGAGGAAGGTGGCTGGTGATTGGAGCAAATTATTTTGATCTCTCTGGCGTGTGACCTGGGGGTCACGTGATATCCCACTAGCGAAGTCCTAAGGGACTACGCACCTATTCGTAGAACTTAAGTTACATTAAGTAACTATTAAATATTATTTTCCTATGGACTGTTCCAGAGAGAATGATGTATTGCAAGCTGGGAGGAGATCTGATTTATTTATGCAGCACAACCCCAAAGGTAAAAACTATTTAAGTGATTAATTTTGTGCCCACATAATGTGTTATATCTTTTGAAGTCTGATGCAGTTTACACTTGTATTTAAATGGAGATAAGAAAATAAGCTTTAAAATGATATACAACTTTTGGGGTTTGGTGTTCAAAATACACCTGCTATTGCCAGCAGAACATTTTAAAAATAAAAACGGCTCGCCGGTGGGAGTAAAGAGTTCAATAAAAATGTTAGGAAAGTGAACTCGATAAATTGTTAAGATGACAGCATTACATTAGGGACAAGCATTACATGATTCTGAATTAAACCTTTACCTTTCTTTGATGAAGTCACCAATGGGTTTCCCATGTGGATAGAAATGATGTCCATTAATAGACACACAGCACCGAGGCTTATAAAATCAACAATGAACGATTGTAAGTGTTTGTAACAAAGACAAAATATAATAAAATGCAAAGTATTAAAGGTCACTTACCTGAATAACCTTGCTCTCTGATGACAAATATAAGGCGATAGTTGCACCAAGAGATAATCCAACCACCCCAACTCTGTCAGGTACCACACTTGGATGGTCCTTCACTATATTAAAAGCTGTCTATAAATGTAAAATGCAAGTCAGATTTAGTGTAATTTACACAGGCTTAAAGGAGCTGTACCAGACTTATTTTCTATATTGAGTTCATAAAAATGCGTAGTACTACATACAAATCGTATAAAAATGTTGAGTCAGCTTATCTATGAATTCAGGCCTTACAAAGTACTGAGTTGACACTTCCAACAACGCTAGTTCTTCTCTACTTGCACAACAAGGGGCGGTGCTATTGCGGTGCTATTGCGGTGCTATTGCGGTGCTATTGCGGTGCTATTGCGCTCCTCAGCGCGTGGTAAGCACAGGTAAACAAGAACAGCATGGCAGCTGAAGGAGGATCAACGCAGAAAGGGGCTGTACCTCCTCTGGCTGTAACTGCATACACAGAAAAACGGCCCAAAAGACGCAAAAGTGAGGAAAAGAAGAGGGAACTAAAGCAAAAAATTATCAAAGAAGAAATCAAGCACGGGTAGGTAGCTTACATTGTATCCTCTCCGGAAAGACATAAAGTCGTCGCTCGCACTAAATTTAGACGCGAAACTGGCAGTTATTCTACTTGATGGGTAATTATTCAGTTATTGTACAGTATACAGTATTTTGTTTGCAGTGCGTTGCTTAAGTACCATGTCATCAGTGGTTGTTGTAGAGCTTACGAGAAGTTGTGCTAATGCTAATGTTTGCATAACTATCAGATTGCTAATAAAACTAGATGGCTCCGTGGGAGGAGAGCGTAGGGGAGAGTAGGAGGGTTTCTCAAAACAAGAAGCCTTGCAGAATCGGCTATAGCTCCTTTTAAAAGGTTCTTCTATTAGGGCAAATGTGTAGCTTTTACTGCTAATTATGTTTCAGTGGTAGACTTCAGCCTTATTTAGAGGTGGCACTTGATGTTGTGACGTATCTTTTATCAGCTGTCAGCTGTCCGGCTTATCTATTTATAAGCCGGATGAGGTTGGTCTGATGGTTTGCATCTGAACTGACCGCCCCTTGCCGTGCTGTGGTCTGTAGAGAAGTGAATCCCAAGTGTGATCCACAATGAAAGCCTCCTTGCCTCTGTTGATGATCTGTGCGCCTCACTTACTCTCTTCAATCGCATCTCATATCAATCATTTGTATTTATGTTCTTCCGTACCTATTATTTTTGAACTGTCCCTGTCCATTTTATGATTATCTCTTATGCAGCGGTCACTGACCACTGACTTTTCTTGAGATCGTAGTGCAACGAGGAGCATGGTCAGTGTGATGGATCTCCCCGATCTGTCAGACTGGCCGCATCCAGTTGATAAGAGACATGTCCCATCAAGTGTCACCTCTAACAAAGACAGCAGTCTATCATTGAACCATGTCAAGTAATTTAGCGGTACTAGCTTCTTTATTCTTGTGTCGCATTAGATGAACCTTCTTAGGCTTAAACATTTTTTTGTGTGTTTATGTGTTGTCTATGGTTACCTCAAAATAGTTTAATTCCATCTCAGCAGTGTCCATCTCTCCAGAGCCAAAGTACTCCAGCGCAAATGCAGCATAACCGCGCGATGCTAGGATCGCAGCACGGTACTCTATCAAGCCCCCTCCACCACCCCACATGTCCAGGAGTCCAGGGAAAGGGCCAGGGCCTAGCAACGTCAATATTAATGACAAAAGATACTGATCCTAAAATATTTTCAACATGATCTAATTGTACCTGGGGGCAGAAACATAGTCCCTCTCACAGGGTTTTCTTTAATGCTAATCCTCTGAACTCCTGGAGCCATGTACCAGCGCTCTGTAAGCACGGAGGCCAGCGCTCTCTGGTCCTTGAAGCCCTCTGTCAAATGCCCACTGAAAACTGAGATGGTGTATAGCAGAGGACTAGACACGTCCATCTTTCTCAGCCTGGGAAAACAAAATGCCGAGTCTGCAGTTGGAAACTAGTCTATGGGCATAGTTACATTTGTAAAAATGTTAATTTCCTATACAGTGTATACATAAAACATAGAGACAGTGTTTAATAATAGGCCATTTAGTCATGCAATGTTAGTTACTCACAATAATAATAATAATAATAATAATAATGCATCGGTTTTATACAGCGCTTTTTTGGACACTCAAAGACGCTTTACATGTCATTATTCTTTCACTCCATACACGGTGGTGATAAACTACTACTGTAGCCACAGCTGCCCTGGGGCACACTGACAGAAGCGAGGCAACCAGTATGTGCCATCGGCCCCTCCGACCACCACCAACCACACACACACACAATATATCATAAAGCACGTGGTGTATTGGTGTTGCATCGTTATCATTCTGTTCCATTCTACAGGAATATGGAAAAAGATTACCTTAGGCCTTTGCGGCTTCCTGGAACTGGACGTAAACTCCAGAATAAACCCATGGGCTCTCTCCCAGTATATGTTCCCCCAAGACTCAAATCCTCTGAAACTACATGTTCATATTTCTATTGAAGCAACATGTGATACTCTGAACATACATGACGCTCTTCTCTGTAAACTTACTGCACACAAGCCCATTGTGGTTACTGATGTAGTGCCCGAACGCCTCCCAGTAGTCGTGGTCTTCAGATAAGTGGAGGGCATGGAGAGTGAATGGATGTCCAGCAGGCAGATTTTCCACTTGAACATCACATTTCTCATCAACAAGAGCCCGAGTTGGAGCCACAGAGAGAAGAGGAGTCGTGAAGAACGCCATAGTGTTTGTCTGCAACTGTGGAGAGGAGTCATGGGTGTATTTGGAATCAATGAATGAACAGATAGTTTAGTTAAAGGAAAAATTGTATTGAACAAAAAATAATCTTGAGCAAGCAGACAAATAGGCAGACAGGAAGGCAGTGAAAAAAATTGGGCACGGTGACTGAGTGGATAGAGTTCTCGCTTCTACCCTTGTGCTGCATCAACAGGATCAAGTCTTTGGGTATGACTCTGCAAGTTTTGCACATCTAGAGACAGAAAGATTTGCCCACACCTATTTACAAAACAACTCCTGTTTATTTATTTCTATTTATGATTTTGTCCACTCCATTTTACATCCATACATACATCATGTATATTGACTTTACATTTGTGCAACATAAACAACTTTGTCAAATGACATGGAGAGCCTTTGTAACAGCAGTTTTCAGGTCTTGTTTTAAAGCAATCCATTGTAGATGTATCTTTGTGTTTAGGGTCATTTTCCTGCTGGACGGTGAATCTTTGCCAATGCCTCAATTCTCCCTCTGACTTTGGACAGTTTTCCTCAACAATGTCCCTGTATTTGGTTTCATTCATCTCCCCAGATATTCATCTTCTTCTTATGCTCCTTGTCCTCTTAGAATGTTTTAAAGGCAATTTAATACACTACTGAAGGCCATACTTTTCACTTTTCATTTTTCAAAATAACAACGGAATCATGAATCATTTTACTTTCACTTCACAGTTGTCGTTTACTTGTGTGTGAACTTTTGGTGAATAATTCAAAATAAAATCTTCAACAAATTTCAAGGTGTATATGAATACAATACTTTTAAGAGGCGCAGTTTGTTTACTGCCACTAGAACCTGAAAGTAAGATCACATTAGTCCAGTTCTCAGGCCTCTGCACTGGAGTCTGGTGTTTCAGTGAATAGACTTTAAAGGTCCCATATTACGCTTTTTGACTTTTCTCTGGTTTAAACAAGATTACTGTGCTATTTGGCCGTCATACACATGCCCAGACAGAGTAGTTTTTTAATTGATTCCCTCAAGCTTTAGTTAGAGAGCGATCTTTCTCTTTCATTCTCGAGAGACACAGTAACAAGCTGTTTCAAATCGTGACGTGGCACAATCCATGACGTCTAAAGCCCACCTCCAAGAGGTGATTGACAGCGAGGAGACACTCAACCAGCAAATCAGCGCCCTCTATGGTCAGCCCATGCAGACTCTCTCCGAGTCCAGCATGTGGTCCATTTTGTCTTAGCTTCATGTCAACTTGAAGAAAATGTGTTGTTGGTGTAAATATATGACGAGAGTATTTGGCCCAAAGACGGATAAAGGGGATCAGCTTTGTTCACGGGGATCTTCCTCGTTACCGCAAGTCTGAAATCTGCAACGAAACTCACAGATGTTTTTTTGCAAGTGCCAGTGACACCAGCAAAGACTGTTCCAGAGCTACGATTACCTTGAAACGGGACCTAATCAAAAGCTGAGCAGGAAACATGGTGTTATTCAAACATAAAAGACGCTCACAGGAGCCTCGGCCTGTGAGTACAAAAAGACGTCGTATGTCACTGTGAACTAACTAATTAGGGTCTGATTCTGGATGGTGGACATAGGGCTCTATGTGACGGAGTGCCATTGTTGGAAAAAGTTTATTCTCAGGTCTGAAATTACTATGTAACGGCGAAAGCTGTACTTCTAGCTCTTATTTACCTCAAACCTAGCTACGTCACCGTGCGGGCGGGGGAAGGTGGGCTCACAGGCAGAGGAGCACTGATCCAAGCGTTTCACATGACGTGGCTATAATTTGACAAGTTTTGAGTGTTGTATGGTGAACCACCCAAATTATTATCACACATGTGCAGACTGTGAAGAATGAAGAGACGTGAAATATGGCACCTTTAAAGTAGTTCATTTTGTGCACAAGTCTCTCCATGGCCTTGCACAGTGCATCCGGGGCATGTTAGTGCCATATGAACCGACTGGGACTCTGAGGAGCACAGGGACTGACCTCCTGCTGGTGCCCATGTATTAGGATGAAACATGGGGAGGCAGCATTTCAGATTTATGCAGCTATAATCTGGTATAGTCTTCCTGAAAATGTGAGACAGGCTTCTTCTCTGACAATGTTCAAATCCACAGATAATCAATTCTGTTTATCTATCCATACAACTGCAGGATTGTATATTCATTATTTTTATGTACTGTGATTAGTTTATGATTAAAATGGCTTGTGTGATTTTTTTCTTATGTCAAGCACTTTGAGCTGCCTTGTGTATGAACTTTACAGTGGTTGGGCTGGAAATTGCAAAACTATAGCAGTATAGAGCAAGAAATAGAACTTTAAATACAGTTTTCTTCAGCTGGATTTGTGTTCAGAATGCATTGGGGACTGTATCTAAATATATATAATTTTGTTGAGATTTTAGTTGATAATATTTTTTTCTATATTAAAAATGTTAGTTGGTGTAACCATCTCATTTATTTAAATGTGACCTGTAATGTGCTGATTACGTGACAAAGGAAAATAAAACAAAGTATTTGGCAATTTACACAATACTTTATTGTTTTATTTTCCTTTGTTATTTAAGTAATACATTCTCATTGTTTGTTTGTTGTTGATACATCGATTGTCTGTTGCACCACCTAACTTACAACCTACAATAACACTTGACAAAATAACATATTCAGAGTTATATTGCTGTACTTTAATGTATTTTGTATTAAACAGTGCTATTGTAATGCATCTTTGAGCGAAAAAGTTCTTTATAAGTATGATGTTTTATTATTCTGAAATAAATAAGTCATGTAAAGATCTAAAGCTGTTAGTTTTAAGCTTTTTTAATTAACATATTTTTGTAAAAAGTTTTAATAATAATATTTTTTTATTTGGAGTTTTTCATCATGTAAATACACTCTACATGCAATTTTATTCACTGTACTCTGTGCCCTGGCAGTCGTATTGCAGTGTTTGAGAGGTCAATCCCTGAATGAGTACGTCTTGAATAGCCCCAATACTTTCTAAATTACACAATTTTTGTGTGTTTGTTCCATTAGAAAAAACATACAAATGAAAATGCAAACTGGTGGGCTCCTGTCCTACTCACCTGTTTCTGTTATCTTGTAAAAGAATGTGAGACTTCATGTTAAAAAGTTTCTCTGTCCTCTCTACTTGCAGAGCGATACAGTTGCCATTCAAAAATGGCAAATGGGAAATCAGTGACCAAACCAGTGAATTGCAAATAAGTGACTTTGCAGGACAATTTACTGAATCAGTGAGATTTTGACCCTCCTATGGGTCAATTTGACCTCATTCAATGTTTATCATTTCATGACTTTTCCTAACTGATATTATAAAGATATGTTTTCAATGTTTAACACATATTGCTCGCATTCGTTGTCCTCTGGGGACAGCTTGACCCCTTGCTGTTTTTGCAGTTAAAATGTATTTAATCAAGTTTTACACATGTTTCAATCAATGAATGAATGATGCACTTCCCTCAAGTGTAATAAATACATCTGTTTGTGCGGGTGTGTATGTTTATGTGGGTGTGTATGTATTTGTGTGTTTGTTTTGTGTACTCATGGGTATGTCTGTGTGTATTTGTGCATCTATGTGTGTGTGTGTGTGTATTTTTGTGTGTTTGTTTGTTTTGTATACTTATGGGTATGTCTGTGTGTGTATGTTTGTGAATGTGTGTGTGAGTTTGTGTGTATGTATGTTTATATCTATGTGTGTTTATGTGTATCAGCGTGTGTGTGTGTGTGTGTATGTATTCGTGGGCTGTGTGTCTGAGGGGAACGAACTGGAATACCGGCCGTTTATCATGGACTTTGTCGACTGGTGTGAGCGCAACCACTTGTGCTTGAACACCAGTAAGACTTCAGGAGAAAACCACTTTCCCACACACCGCTGAACATCCAGGGGGAGGACATTGAGCTGGTGGACAGCTTCAAGTACCTGGGTGTTCACATAAACAATAAACTGGACTGATCCCAACACCAACGCCCTGTACAAGAAGGGCCAAAGTCGCCTCTTCCTTCTGAGGAGGCTGAGGTCCTTCGGAGTGAGCAGGCCTCTGCTCAGGACCTTTTATGACTCTGTGGTAGCCTCAGCCATATTCTACGCTGCCGTTAGCTGGGCCCCGGGCAGCACAGAGCGGGACAGGAGCAGACTGAACAAGCTGGTCAGGAGGGCCAGCTCCACTCTGGGCTGCTCCCTGGACTCTGTGGAGGAGGTGAGGAGCAGTGGGACTGAGGATCTACAGTCCCACTGCACAGGACTGTAGAGGAGCTGAGGAGCTCCTTAAGTGGAAGGCTGAGGCACCCTCAGTGCTAGAAGGGGCGCTACCGCAGGGCCTTCATCCCCACTGCTGTCAGACTGTACAATAAGTCACTTGTACTAGGACTAAAAAAACCTGCACTACTATTGCCACTGTTTCTTTAATTGCCACATTTTTATTGTACATAATATATCCTGAAAAGACTATTTTTTGCCTTTAACATGTTTGCACACTTCTGTCTTTTGCACAAATGTGAGTGATTCTATCTATGCCAATTGTGACATGTAAATTTTCCCTGTGTGAGATCAATAAAGTCTATCTCATGAAGCCTCATTTCACATGCATTTGCTCAACGCTGCTGTAAACAAAGTCAAGATAATATATCATGTCTTCTTACAGTGCAAATGAACTTCAGATTTTGAATGTAACAGTTTTGACAAAGAGCAAATGGATTTTCAACACTCACACTTTACCTATCCCTAGCTAGCATACAGTCTAACCCTACCACCAGTCATAGGAACAGTATATGATGCTATAAATTGTATTATAATTGATGCTATAATTGAATAAAGTTTATCTTACCTTTACCTTACCTAGAAGAGATCCTGCTTCATCCTGCACCTTTCAGAACTTGGCTCAAACATCCCAAGCTGGGGCACCAGTCCAAGCCTCAGCATGTGATTGGCTAAGACTGCAAGGCCCATCCCATTGACCTTGCCTCTGCTTTTCATCCT